GACTTGTGATGCCATTTTCTCAGAGACGAGTTTCGTGTTTCACTTTAAGAACATTTAACACTTTAATTTCAACCTTGATGATCAGTATTGCCAAGTTTCATCTTCTTAATATGTCACAAAGTATGTTTACAGTATTTAGATATATAAATTTCTCATATATCTCTCCATGGTGACGTTTCTTTTGCGGTTCAGTATATATGCGCCTTCGTGCCCAGGTTTTCTACGTGGAGAGTTAGGAGAGTCGAGAGTGCACGACTGGCCTGGCAGCGAACGAATGAGGGGAGTGAGTGAAAAAGCCACCAGAAAGACGAATAAGAATGAAGACTGATTAAATGGTGAAGCACTCCTCGTGTCGCGTTAAGCAATAGTTCAGCAATGTAATGGGGGAACAACAGAAATGCGCGTGTACCTATGTGGACCTGGGCCTTCGGCCTGACGTTAGAGCGCTTTAACCACAAGGCTACACCCTACCGCAACAGGAACGATGGAGTGAAATAATCTTAGAGTGAACGAATGTGTGCCTAGATGACTGAGCAGATCAATGTGCACAGTGGGTCCACGTTATAACTCCATGCACTGTTTACATCCAACCTGTACCGAACCCTAATAGATATCTAGGTGCGTTTAACAGGCACGTGTGCAGTTGTGAGTTTAACGAAACAAATAAACATCCCATGTTAGTTTAACACAGGAACACCAACCATTGCCTGTATCAACGGGAGGTGATTACAAGCTGAAGGGGTATTTTAAATGCGTATTTAATTATTCCAGCAGTGATGTATAAATAAATGTTATTCAGAGAAACGGTATTGTCGATCAGGACAGAAATGTTCAATGTCAACAAAACACAAGGAGCATATATTGCAGGTCATTGTGAAAAGGATGAAGCGGGGGAAATCTAAATAAATTCAGAGGTAAACTGTTGCTTTTTATCTGGTATTGTTACCTGATGCACATACACTGATGCCAGTTTCTCTGTTAACGAATTTAGCGTAGGTGTATCACAGCGCGATTATTGACAACGTTTATCTGAGAGTCCATGTTCAACTGAGCTGAAAAACATGGCCGTTGCTCTGGGTACCACTTCCTCTTCCTGCAACACTTCCGGCCCATGCAGAACGTCCTAGCCATGCAATACTTCCGGTCAATTTAACTCTTCCGGCCCATGAACCAGTTCCGGTCCATGCAACACTTCCGGTCCATGCAACACTTCCGGCCTATACAACACTTCCGGTCCATGCAACACGTCCTGTCCATGCAACACTTCCTGCCCATGCAACTCTTCCGGTCCATGCAAAACTTCCGGTCCATGCAACACTTACGGCCAATGCAACACTTCCGGTCCATGCAATACTTCCGGTCCATGCAACTACTTCTTGTCCATGCAACACTTCCAGTCCATGCAACACTTCCGGTCCATGCAACTACTTCCGGTCCTTGCAACGTTTCCTGTTCATGATGGTGTTTCCGTCATTTCTTCAACACGATTTAGTGCAAAACATTTCCGGGTCAATAATGTTTTTTCATTTTCATATGAAGGTAAGTTTCGTGGTTATGTGACCGACCTCTTGCTCAATAGGTAAGCCGTATATCACGTGACCGACCTCTTGCCCAATAGGTAAGCCGTATATCACGTGACCGACCTCTTGCCCAATAGGTAAGCCGTATATCACGTGACCGACCTCTTGCTCAATAGGTAAGCCGTATATCACGTGACCGACCTCTTGCCCAATAGGTAAGCCGTATATCACGTGACCGACCTCTTGCCCAATAGGTAAGCCGTATATCACGTGACCGACCTCTTGCCCAATAGGTAAGCCGTATATCACGTGACCGACCTCTTGCTCAATAGGTAAGCCGTATATCACGTGACCGACCTCTTGCTCAATAGGTAAGCCGTATATCACGTGACCGACCTCTTGCTCAATGGGTAAGCCGTATATCACGTGACCGACCTCTTGCCCAATAGGTAAGCCGTATATCACGTGACCGACCTCTTGCTCAATGGGTAAGCCGTATATCACGTGACCGACCTCTTGCTCAATAGGTAAGCCCATATCGTGATGGTCTGTTAATAATCAAGTCTTGTCTAGACCATCCAGTGACTGACATCACGAGCATTGATCAACAATTGGGATGCGATGACATCATCCAAGTCACCTCGCATGAGACCCGTGAAGATCCGGGGCATTCTAGGTCTTCAGCAACCCATGCTTGCCATAAAAGGCGACTAACGGGATCGGGTGGTCAGGCTCGCTGACTTGGTTGTTGCATGTCATGATATCCCAATTGCGTGGATCGATGGTCATGATTTCCATCACTGGATTGTCTGGTCCAGACTCAAATATTTACAGACAGCCGTCATGTAGCTGCGGCGTTTAACAATAAACAAACAAACAAACCTCGCATGACAAACCGATCCCGTTAGTCTCCTCTTACCACAAGCATAGGTTGCAGATGACCTACATTTTTACCCGGAATCCCCTCTGGAATAACGACTCGCGGCTGTGGTCCACTCCACGTTTATGACAAGCCCAATAGAGTTTGATACATTTGAACTACAAAAACGAGCGATCGTATGGTAACTTTCAAAGCTTATAAAAAATAGATGATTGAATTGATTGGAAGTTGCTTTACGCCGGAGTCTATTAAACCAGTGGCTGACAGCACGAGCATTGTATCCATGCGACCATCATCGGTTTGAGGTACCCGGAATCTCATCAGATGCTTTTGCTTTGCACTAGTCACGTGTGTTCGCTTTCAGAAATAATTTAACCTTTGCCAACCTTTTAGCTTTAGATAGACTTTAGGTTATTCTGTACTTATATACACAATCCCATTAATCCCTCTGACATACTTGACAGTGCCTGTACATGTCGTCTAACGCAATGGGTGGAACGGGGGGAGATTGTAGTTGTATGGAATTTTAACCCCAGGGCTGAGTCCGCTGTAATTTTAGACCGTCCCCGCGGTCTAGACAGTTAGACAACCGGTTCACTCTGCCAGGTGTATGTCTCTGGGGAGTGTCAGATGGACAGAACTTTCCACACGGTACCAGACCAGTCCAGTGTCACTGGAACATCACAGAATAGTCCTATGTTTCTTTTACGCTTGACATTCATCCACACTATTACGGAAGTGTACAGATAATCCGAGCATCTAAATATATACTTCCTCACCACTGCTTACATTAAAGAGTACTACATTCCTGAAACTAATCATTGTCTTAATACAATGCAATGAACTTCTACTGAACCTCAACCGAAACAATGTAATACAGTTACAATCATTGTTTGACAATCAATTACCCTGCCATATAACAATATAGTGGTCTTTATGAACGCAATATATATGGCGGTATTTATAAACGACAGCATATATGGTAATTTATACGAGAATAGTTGTCTTTATGAACGGCTCTCAAATCTTCTGAATGAAGACCTGCCACTGTTTTCACAGTTAATTGAGTTACTTATATCAATAAACACCCCGCCAACACAGATCAGCACAGTGAGTCTACATGTCAACATGCACGCTCTATGTAGACCACCTGAGAATCTCCTCACACTGACAGCCTCACCAGCTTCCGCAGCCCTGTGGGCGTGTTTAATTGCCCAATTAAAGCCGTTATAGCTGACACTCTCAAATTTCTATCGACTTCCGTGAGTAAAACTCCTTTCTCATTGTTTCTAATATGAATTTCCGCCTTAGCAAAACTGCCTGAGGCATCGTGACTTCGGTGCCTTGATGCGACTCGCTATACTGCCCAGAATAAGTAAAGAAATGTTTTACCGTATACGTAGGTCATCATTTTACAACAAGGGGAGCTCGTAATGTGGCGTTGCTGTTTATGCATGTGTACACGCGTCATATCTTTTTTACTACACAGCCGTAGCGTAATGGATTGTCTTACATCCTCGTAGCGTAATGGATTGTCTTACATCCTCGTAGTCTAATGGATTGTCTTACATCCTCGTAGTCTAATGGATTGTCTTATATCCTCGTAGTCTAATGGAGTGTCTTACATCCTCGTAGCGTAATGGATTGTCTTATATCCTCGTAGTCTAATGGATTGTCTTACATCCTCGTAGTCTAATGGATTGTCTTACATCCTCGTAGCGTAATGGATTGTCTTACATCCTCGTAGTCTAATGGATTGTCTTACATCCTGGTGGCGTAATGGATTGTCTTACATCCTCGTAGTCTAATGGATTGTCTTATATCCTCGTTGCGTAATGGATTGTCTTACACCGTCGTAGCGTAATTGATTGTCTTACATCCTCGTAGTCTAATGGATTGTCTTATATCCTCGTTGCGTAATGGATTGTCTTACACCGTCGTAGCGTAATTGATTGTCTTACATCCTCGTAGTCTAATGGATTGTCTTATATCCTCGTTGCGTAATGGATTGTCTTACACCGTCGTAGCGTAATGGATTGTCTTACATCCTCGTAGTCTAATGGATTGTCTTATATCCTCGTAGTCTAATGGATTGTCTTACATCCTCGTTGCGTAATGGATTGTCTTACACCGTCGTAGCGTAATGGATTGTCTTACATCCTCGTAGTCTAATGGATTGTCTTATATCCTCGTTGCGTAATGGATTGTCTTACACCGTCGTAGCGTAATGGATTGTCTTACATCCTCGTAGTCTAATGGATTGTCTTATATCCTCGTTGCGTAATGGATTGTCTTACACCGTCGTAGCGTAATGGATTGTCTTACATCCTCGTAGTCTAATGGATTGTCTTATATCCTCGTTGCGTAATGGATTGTCTTACACCGTCGTAGCGTAATGGATTGTCTTACATCCTCGTAGTCTAATGGATTGTCTTACATCCTCGTAGTTACCTGATTACACATGTATCTTGGGTTTCACATAGGTCGACGTCTAAACCGTCATCACCTGGGGCTGACTATCGTGATGCTATTGAAACACTGTACCAAGCGGCCTTAAACCCAACTCCCCCATACTCAGGAAGCTGTATCTTTACTTCCAGGCACTGGTGCTCCCGCGTTCAGACCAGGCTCGTCAGCTGCCTGCAGCCCACGTGGGACTGGCATCGCAGTAGAAGGTGAGGTAAGCTTTTAGTATCCTTTACATCAGTAACATACATCATTGCATGATTACTCCAGCGGTAACAGATCGTTGCACATATTTCTGATATTTGCAGTGTGCACATATGACATTTCAGTTCTTCTAGGCATTTGATTGGCTGACTGTGTTTATTGAACAACCTTTACGGGACTACTTTCGCTGCATTCAGTCGTTCCTGTTTTTGTTTACCCTGGGAATGCAACCAAGTAACGGATAACAAACTGAAAAAAGTTTAATTTGTAATTTTTACTAGTAAAAACAATATTTTGAATATGCATATGCAGCTGATTATCTTTATCACCGAATGAACGTGAGCCAGTTCACAAGGTAGAGTGAGTGAGTGAGTTAAAACTTAACGCAGTATCGGCATTATTTCAGCCATTTCACGTCGTACAGAAGGACCGCGGAGGGATACGGCTAAACAGTGGGACTATTTTGCTTCAACTGACAACATACAAATTACAACACTGCAACGTTTGTGAAACCAGATTGTTCACTAAACTGTTCTGAAGAGCATCAACAACAGCAGGTGCTGTTTGTCATGATTGGGTTTAATACTGACTGCCATGTTGGCGGTCGCCGCTAACTCCCGCTTGCTTAACGTTTCGCGACATATAAACGAGCAGTAGGTACCCACTTGAACATCCTATAAACTGTCCGTGACGCATGTCCCACCGTAGATATGTGTACATGCACGTTTCTTTTTCATTAGAGTGAGTGAGTAAGTTGGGTTTAACGCCGCTTTGAACAGTATTCATCATAGGTTTCTGGAGTGCCCAAGGGACGCAACTCTACACATCGAATTGCGGCGTCTTAGACGACCGGGCCACGCGTGCCCACTTGTCATTAGACTTGACTGTGTTGGAGTTTTCAGCAGATGCACTCGGTGGCCTTTAAATAGAATATTTGCCTCGCTGTCTATTGCACATGCGAAAATGTCGGGTCCACGTGTGCTTAGACAGATTGTTGTTTATTTGGGGCGAAATTAACGATGGATTGCTATCACATTTCTTTTTAAATTAGTTTGTTCTTAGCTTTGACCAAGCGTTACTGCAATGTTAAAAACCAAATCCGGCCTTTCAATCAATTATTTTGATAACACATCATTTTGTTGTTTACGGTAGTAGAGACGACATGAGCGGGGAACTATTTTAAAGCGCAATGACAGCACTGACTTCCGGTGTGGTTTGGTCAGCACACAATGTAACCTTCACCTTTCTCTCGGTTTCTATATTGACGATTGTGAAACTGTTTGTTTTTGTTGATTTCTCTTTAGATTACATCTGTCATAATAAATAGAATACACTCGCTTCAATATTTGATATCAAGTCTATGACTCTCGTGAAATAAACCTCGGGCAAAGTGAAAACTATCACACCCGGGACATGAACTTGATATTACATTGAAGCTCGTGTAATATCCTAAAAGTAGTACACCACTCGCCGATACAATCGTTTCAACATTATTTTTTTATATAGCTGGATATCATTATATTCAATATTATGGGTGTTGGTGGATGGTGCGTGTGTGTGTAGGTGTGTAGGTGCGTGTGTGTGTGTAGGTGTGTTGGGGGTGTTGGTTGATGGTGCGTGTGTGTGTGTAGGTTTGTGTAGGTGTGTTGGGGGTGTTGGTGGATGGTGCGTGTGTGTGTGTGTAGGTGTGTGCAGGTGTGTTGGGGGTGTTGGTTGATGGTGCGTGTGTGTGTGTAGGTGTGTGTAGGTGTGTTAGGGGTGTTGGTCGATGGTGCGTGTGTGTGTAGGTGTGTGTAGGTGTGTTGGGGGTGTTGGTGGATGGTGCGTGTGTGTTTGTAGGTGTGTTGGGGGTGTTGGTGGATGGTGCGTGTGTGTGTGTGTGTGTAGGTGTGTTTAGGTGTGTGTGTAGGTGTGTGTAGGTGCGTGTGTGTGTGTAGGTGTGTGTAGGTGTGTTAGGGGTGTTGGTCGATGGTGCGTGTGTGTGTAGGTGTGTGTAGGTGTGTTGGGGGTGTTGGTGGATGGTGCGTGTGTGTTTGTAGGTGTGTTGGGGGTGTTGGTGGGTGGTGCGTGTGTGTGTGTGTGTGTAGGTGTGTTTAGGTGTGTGTGTAGGTGTGTGTAGGTGCGTGTGCGTTGGGGGTGTTGGGGGTGTTGGTGGATGGTGCGTGTGTGTGTAGGTGTGTGTAGGTGCGTGTGTGTGTGTAGGTGTGTTAGGGGTGTTGGTGGATGGTGCGTGTGTGTGTGTATGTGTGTGTAGGTGTGTTGGGGGTGTTGGTGGATGGTGCGTGTGTGTGTGTAGGTGTGTTGGGGGTGTTGGTCGATGGTGCGTGTGTGTGTGTGTAGGTGTGTGTAGGTGTGTGTATGTGTGTTGGGTGTGTTGGTGGATGGTGCGTGTGTGTGTGTGTGTGTGTAGGGAGTACATCACATCGGGCTGTCCTCAAACATGATGTGAACATGATGTGATGTAACTGCAGATCTCGTCAAGTCTGATATATCTGGCGTACATGTATGATCAAACCTTACAGAGTCAGCACTGTGCTACGTGCACAGAGAACATTAATCATACGCTGAAGCTACAACAACACCAACAACAACTATAATCCCAGACATGTGAAACACATCCCTCTTATATCTAGCGCCCCCAATACAGGTCATGACGAAATATCAAATGTTCCATGAAGGTTCGTTTTTTCACCTAGAGCGTTGAGAAATTTATCTTAACATGTGGTAACACACATGTCGACTGACATTAGGAAGGTTCCCTTGATATCTGACAAACTGTCCTCCATCACATGGCTTCCCCGTCTGCCGACATCAACACCTCGCATAAAGACCAGCTTATCACCACATAGTCATTTGTCCACACACTACGTGTTCATACGGTGGCACGTTTCGGCCGTGAAGCATATATTTCTTATTTATTTTATCTCGGTTGTGTGTGATTTTTTTCTCGTCTGAGAAACTTTCTGGCACCAAGCGGCAAAAGGGAACAGCTGTTCGCCGCCATTATCTCGAGGGAGCGGTGGTTTGCAAAAACCAAGGGTACATAACTCTAAATGCTTGACTTGATGTCAAATTTGCTTTGATTACATTGTAAGTCACTAGGTCGAGCTCAAACTTCTGACGTTATGTGATACAGAGAACTAAACACTGCTTGAATTCTTCAGATGTGGCCGCATAATAATTACATCCTTTTACACATCTCCAATTAGAAAAAACAAATCATGTTCTGAATGCACATTTGTGATCTCAGAACGATCAACGCAGAAGAGCAGCGTATCATTGTTTAGGCGAATTTGCTTTAGAAAAACCCCTGCAAACACGATCATTGATTTTTATGCTAGGTGCAACAAGAACCAGCCTCTACGTCACCCTGAATGTCTGAAAGTAATAGTTCTCAGTGGTATCAAATCAGGCATTAACCCTGGTGTAAAATTCAGTGGCAAGATGTAACCATACAGAGAAACCCTGTGGGCGATGTGTAGCGCCGTGGTCAGGACCGTTGATCAGATGCCCTGAATGAACACTTGACGTCATCAGACACGGGAGCATGACTCCATATCTTGTACGTCATCATAGATTGGATAGCGTAGCGTGGACACAGTACTCAGACCATATGTTGCATGCATTACCTGTACGCATGTTAATCTAAACTAGTATTTATTAACGCCCTACTCTCACACAACATCCTGTTAATACCGTGTTTCTGGAATCAAGCAATTATCTCTCCTCGGTCTTGGTTCATCGCTTCGCTGGTCTGAGTCTACACCCAGTCAAAGATTTATTGCTCATGGAATACATTGCGTATCAGGAGATCTATAACTCCACATTTGCTCTCCAGAGGTCAATGCCCGGTGGTAATAAATGCACCCTATAAATCACGTGGCAGCAATGATGACAGGTTGAGGAGATATCGCCCCAGTGGACAAGTTGAGTCGACCAATCTGACCCTTTACGAAGTTGACCAGAGGAGATATGCATCAACAACAGACCCATGTTATCACGCACTCGTATCGCATTCTCTGTTATCACACTCTCGTATCCCATTCTATGTTATCAAACACAGGTAGCTGCGTTCTCTCACAAGTGCTCGTATGTGTCAAACGTGTCTCAAAATGATGATAAATGTTTGTTTAGAAACCCCTCGGGCACTTCATCCTGTTTGTTCTCTACCCGCCACTCCTGACGCCACTCCTAACCTAGGTCGATCCCTCTCGAACACTGTTACTTATATCCTACATTTATCAAAACCATTGCCTATACCAGTACTAGTCATGTATTAGCATTATTTACGGGTGGTGAGGTGAAATTGGGTTTAACGTCGCGTCCAAGATTATTGCACTTATATAGCGACGTGCATGTACGTGTGTGTGTTTGTGTGGCTGCTTGTACTAGTCCGGACTGATGCCGATTTATAGTGCTAGCTCAGTGAGATACCATGCCGCAGTTTAACATGAATACCCCACTCAGACACAGTATACTGACTCCGAGCCGACCAGTCCTTGTTTTTGGCCCTTAATGCCGAGCGCCAGACAGGGTAACAACAAGTACCATCTTTTAACGTCTTTTGGTATGACGCGGTCGGGGATCGAACCCCGGACCTTCCGCTCTCCGGGCGGATGTTCTACCACTAGACCACGGAGGCGGTCCCATTATTTACATGTCTTAACATAAGCATGTAAAGAAACCCCGGGAATTCCCTAACATGAAATATATTGAGCAGCCTTTTCTTCTGATCAGTTACACGCTTTCGTCTTGCATTAGAGTGGTTGACTGCTAACCGCCATGCGAGTGGTCTCTGCTCGCGTTACTTATACTTCAAATAACCTCAAATATCAAATGTCTTCTCCAACTGAGCAAGACGAAGACAAGCACAATCAAACTATGCATTTGATCGGTGCCAATACTGACAGTGACAGGTAACAACAATCTATGAGTATTTCGTTATTTATTTTACTGTCTATTTGACACATCTTTATGATCACGTTTGAATGATCGGCCAGAAATCTGCCCATCACGTTGTTCGTGGATGCCATTTGGACGTCCCGTGATGAGACGCACTGTCTCTGGGACTGTTATACTGGAGTCATTTTAACTGACAATGTTCATATAAAGCTGATATCGTTTAAATCTATGTTCGTTGCCAAACTACAAAATAAATTAGTCTGGAGAAAATTGAGCCTACATACACTCATGCCATCTCTCGCTGTGACGAACTCTTTTCCGCGATACAGCTGGTTGTTCATGAAGTCTATTCTAAATGAAATCGTGTGTGAATGAAGTAATTCGGGATTTAAAAATGAGAATTGACTTACACTGGTGTGAACCTTCATGGAGTGAGGGCCAAACACGCCCCGACGTTCATACAGGGTGTCTCTCACTCCATAAAGGTTCCCCTCCAGTCAACCCACACGAAGTGAAAGTCAATCATCAAACACCAAGCACCAGTTGCACTGTCGTATCACACTTTCGTTAAGGGGGAATCATGTTTCAGATTCCTGCCCTTGGAAACGTAAACAAGCACATTTCGGGGCGGGGATCAGGAACACGCTGCTTGTTGGAGTCTTATGATTAATGTATATACATTTTTGTAAGCAGCCCAACTCAATCACTCTCTACATTATTCTACTTTACATACAGAATTGGTGTTCCCTCAAGCCATGAGAATCCGTCGTCTAGTGGTAGAGTGTCCATCCATCCGTCTGTCCGTTAGTCCCGACCTTCACGTGAAGTGTTTCTGTGTTCTAGTCAGATCAAGGAAGGGGTAGAAATGAAGTGACGTTACCGACCTTCACGTGAAGTGTTCTCTGTGTTCTAGTCAGATCAAGGAAGGGGTAGAAATGAAGTGACGTTACCGACCTTCACGTGAAGTGTTCTCTGTGTTCTAGTCAGATCAAGGAAGGGGTAGAAATGAAGTGACGTTACCGACCTTCACGTGAAGTGTTCTCTGTGTTCTAGTCAGATCAAGGAAGGGGTAGAAATGAAGTGACGTTACCGACCTTCACGTGAAGTGTTCTCTGTGTTCTAGTCAGATCAAGGAAGGGGTAGAAATGAAGTGACGTTACCGACCTTCACGTGAAGTGTTCTCTGTGTTCTAGTCAGATCAAGGAAGGAGTAGAAATGAAGTGACGTTACCGACCTTCACGTGAAGTGTTCTCTGTGTTCTAGTCAGATCAAGGAAGGGGTAGAAATGAAGTGACGTTACCGACCTTCACGTGAAGTGTTCTCAGTGTTCTAGTCAGATCAAGGAAGGGGTAGAAATGAAGTGACGTTACCGACCTTCACGTGAAGTGTTCTCTGTGTTCTAGTCAGATCAAGGAAGGAGTAGTAATGAAGTGACGTTACCGACCTTCACGTGAAGTGTTCTCTGTGTTCTAGTCAGATCAAGGAAGGAGTAGAAATGAAGTGACGATACCGACCTTCACGTGAAGTGTTCTCTGTGTTCTAGTCAGATCAAGGAAGGAGTAGACATGAAGTGACGTTACCGACCTTCACGTGAAGTGTTCTCTGTGTTCTAGTCAGATCAAGGAAGGGGTAGAAATGAAGTGACGTTACCGACCTTCACGTGAAGTGTTCTGTGTGTTCTAGTCAGATCAAGGAAGGAGTAGAAATGAAGTGACGTTACCGACCTTCACGTGAAGTGTTCTCTGTGTTCTAGTTAGATCAAGGAAGGGGTAGAAATAAAGTGACGTTACCGACCTTCACGTGAAGTGTTCTCTGTGTTCTAGTTAGATCAAGGAAGGGGTAGAAATGAAGTGACGTTACCGACCTTCACGTGAAGTGTTCTCTATGTTCTAGTTAGATCAAGGAAGGGGTAGAAATGAAGTGACGTTACCGACCTTCACGTGAAGTGTTCTCTATGTTCTAGTCAGATCAAGGAAGGGGTAGAAATGAAGTGACGTTACCGACCTTCACGTGAAGTGTTCTCTGTGTTCTAGTCAGATCAAGGAAGGGGTAGAAATGAAGTGACGTTACCGACCTTCACGTGAAGTGTTCTCTGTGTTCTAGTCAGATCAAGGAAGGGGTAGAAATGAAGTGACGTTACCGACCTTCACGTGAAGTGTTCTCTGTGTTCTAGTCAGATCAAGGAAGGAGTAGAAATGAAGTGACGTTACCGACCTTCACGTGAAGTGTTCTCTATGTTCTAGTCAGATCAAGGAAGGGGTAGAAATGAAGTGACGTTACCGACCTTCACGTGAAGTGTTCTCTATGTTCTAGTTAGATCAAGGAAGGGGTAGAAATGAAGTGACGTTACCGACCTTCACGTGAAGTGTTCTCTGTGTTCTAGTTAGATCAAGGAAGGGGTAGAAATAAAGTGACGTTACCGACCTTCACGTGAAGTGTTCTCTATGTTCTAGTTAGATCAAGGAAGGGGTAGAAATGAAGTGACGTTACCGACCTTCACGTGAAGTGTTCTCTGTGTTCTAGTTAGATCAAGGAAGGGGTAGAAATGAAGTGACGTTACCGACCTTCACGTGAAGTGTTCTCTGTGTTCTAGTCAGATCAAGGAAGGGGTAGAAATGAAGTGACGTTACCGACCTTCACGTGAAGTGTTCTCTGTGTTCTAGTTAGATCAAGGAAGGGGTAGAAATGAAGTGACGTTACCGACCTTCACGTGAAGTGTTCTCTGTGTTCTAGTTAGATCAAGGAAGGGGTAGAAATGAAGTGACGTTACCGACCTTCACGTGAAGTGTTCTCTGTGTTCTAGTTAGATCAAGGAAGGGGTAGAAATGAAGTGACGTTACCGACCTTCACGTGAAGTGTTCTCTGTGTTCTAGTTAGATCAAGGAAGGGGTAGAAATGAAGTGACGTTACCGACCTTCACGTGAAGTGTTCTCTGTGTTCTAGTCAGATCAAGGAAGGGGTAGAAATGAAGTGACGTTACCGATCTTCACGTGAAGTGTTCTGTGTGTTCTAGTTAGATCAAGGAAGGGGTAGAAATGAAGTGACGTTATCGACCTTCACGTGAAGTGTTCTCTGTGTTCTAGTTAGATCAAGGAAGGGGTAGAAATGAAGTGACGTTACCGACCTTCACGTGAAGTGTTCTCTGTGTTCTAGTCAGATCAAGGAAGGGGTAGAAATGAAGTGACGTTACCGACCTTCACGTGAAGTGTTCTGTGTGTTCTAGTCAGATCAAGGAAGGGGTAGAAATGAAGTGACGTTACCGACCTTCACGTGAGGTGTTCTATGTGTTCTAGTCAGATCAAGGAAGGGGTAGAAATGAAGTGACGTTACCGACCTTCACGTGAAGTGTTCTCTGTGTTCTAGTTAGATCAAGGAAGGGGTAGAAATGAAGTGACGTTACCGACCTTCACGTGAAGTGTTCTCTGTGTTCTAGTCAGATCAAGGAAGGGGTAGAAATGAAGTGACGTTACCGACCTTCACGTGAAGTGTTCTCTGTGTTCTAGTCAGATCAAGGAAGGGGTAGAAATGAAGTGACGTTACCGACCTTCACGTGAAGTGTTCTCTGTGTTCTAGTCAGATCAAGGAAGGGGTAGAAATGAAGTGACGTTACCGACCTTCACGTGAAGTGTTCTCAGTGTTCTAGTCAGATCAAGGAAGGGGTAGAAATGAAGTGACGTTACCGACCTTCACGTGAAGTGTTCTCTATGTTCTAGTCAGATCAAGGAAGGGGTAGAAATGAAGTGACGTTACCGACCTTCACGTGAGGTGTTCTGTGTGTTCTAGTCAGATCAAGGAAGGGGTAGAAATGAAGTGACGTTACCGACCTTCACGTGAAGTGTTCTGTGTGTTCTAGTCAGATCAAGGAAGGAGTAGAAATGAAATGACGTTACCAACCTTCACGTGAAGTGTTCTGTGTGTTCATCTTCCGATGACTCTTGTGTTTCAACGAAGTAGAAATGAAATGACGTCAATGTGGATCCTTGACCGACCTTCATACTGAAGTGTTATCTGTGTTCCAGGACTGAGTACACCTCCCGGAAGTACACTATAGTGTACCGGCAGCTGAAGGAGAGAAAATGGCGTTGCTGTCCCGGATTCTGGGGAGACAACTGTGAGGAAGGTAAGTGGAGACAACTGTGAGGAAGGTAAGGGGAGACGACTGTGACGAAGGTAAGGGAGACAACTGTGAGGAAGGTAAGGAAAGACAGCAGCGAGGCGGGTAAATGAGTTTTGTGTATCTGGTACCGCCACACACAGTTCGACAGCCACTCTCAGGTCCCGGGCTCGATCCCCCGAACATGTTAAGTCTTTTGCTTGCGTAGCCTAGTGGATGATGCGTTCCACAGCCGCACACAGTCCTCGGGTTCTATCCCAACAATGTCTTAAGTCTATTCCTGATGCCTTGTGGTCTGGCTGTGTTAGTGGGTTCCGTGTTAAATCTTTCTCCTCACTCTGACATTGTTTTATTTATGATGCTACTAGGTCTGGTGTTGAAATAAACAGATCTATATGTTTCTGTTTCCAGAATGCTTCAACTGCACCAGTATACGAGCGCTGAAGGCTAGACTAGATAGCACGGAGAGCATTGTTAGACAGGTGAGACTAGATAGCACGGAGAGCATTGTTAGACAGGTGAGACTAGATAGCACGGAGAGCATTGTTAGACAGGTGAGACAAGATACCACGGAGAGCATTGTTAGACAGGTGAGACTAGATAGCACAGAGAGCATTGTTAGACAGGTGAGACAAAATAGCACAGACAGCATTCTTAGACAGGTGAGACAAGATACCACGGAGAGCATTGTTAGACAGGTGAGACTAGATAGCACAGAGAGCATTGTTAGACAGGTGAGACTAGATAGCACAGACAGCATTCTTAGACAGGTGAGACTAGATAGCACAGAGAGCATTGTTAGACAGGTGAGACTAGATAGCACAGACAGCATTGTTAGACAGGTGAGGCTAGATAGTACAGAGAGCATTGTTAGACAGGTGAAACCACATAGCACAGAGATCATTGTTAGACAGATGAGACTAGATAGCGCAGAGAGCATTGTTAGACAGATGAGACTAGATAGCGCAGAGAGCATTGTTAGACAGATGAGACTAGATAGCACAGAGAGCATTGTTAGACCGATGAGACTAGATAACGCAGAGAGCATTGTAGGACAGATGAGACTAGATAGCACAGAGAGCATTGTTAGACAGATGAGACTAGATAGCGCAGAGAGCACTGTTAGACAGATGAGACAAGATAGCGCAGAGAGCATTGTTAGACAGGTGAGACAAGATAGCGCAGAGAGCATTGTAGGACAGATGAGACTAGAGAGCACAGAGAGCATTGTTAGACAGATGAGACTAGATAGCACAGAGAGCATTGTTAGACAGGTGAGACTAGATAGCGCAGAGAGCATTGTTAGACAGGTGAGACAAGATAGCGCTGAGAGCATTGTTAGACAGGCGAGACAAGATAGCGCAGAGAGCATTGTAGGACAGATGAGACTAGATAGCACAGAGAGCATTGTTAGACAGATGAGACTAGATAGCACAGAGAGCATTGTTAGACAGGTGAGACCACATAGCACGGAGAGCATTGTTAGACAGATGAGACTAGATAGCGCGGAGAGCATTGTTAGACAGATAAGACTAGATAGCGCAGAGAGCATTGTTAGACAGGTGAGACTAGATAGCCAGAGAGCATTGTTAGACAGGTGAGACAAGATAGCCAGAGAGCATTGTTAGACAGATGAGACTAGATAGCGCGGAGAGCATTGTTAGACAGATAAGACTAGATAGCGCAGAGAGCATTGTTAGACAGATGAGACTAGATAGCGCAGAGAGCATTGTTAGACAGGTGAGACAAGATAGCCAGAGAGCATTGTTAGACAGATGAGACTAGAAAGCGCAGAGAGCATTGTTAGACAGGTGAGACAAGAAAGCCAGAGAGCATTGTTAGACAGATGAGACTAGATAGCGCAGAGAGCATTGTTAGACAGGTGAGACAAGATAGCCAGAGAGCATTGTTAGACAGATGAGACTAGATAGCGCAGAGAGCATTGTTAGACAGGTGAGACAAGATAGCCAGAGAGCATTGTTAGACAGATGAGACTAGATAGCGCAGAGAGCATTGTTAGACAGGTGAGACAAGATAGCCAGAGAGCATTGTTAGACAGATGAGACTAGATAGCGCAGAGAGCATTGTTAGACAGGTGAGACAAGATAGCCAGAGAGCATTGTTAGACAGATGAGACTAGATAGCCAAAGAGCATTGTTAGACAGGCGAGACTAGATAGCCAGAGAGCATTGTTAGACAGGTGAGACTAGATAGCCAGAGAGCATTGTTAGACAGGTGAGACAAGATAGCCAGAGAGCATTGTTAGACAGGTGAGACAAGATAGCGCAGAGAGCATTGTTAGACAGGTGAGACAAGATAGCCAGAGGGCATTGTTAGACAGATTAGACTAGATAGCGCAGAGAGCATTGTTAGACAGGTGAGACTAGATAGCGCAGAGAGCATTGTTAGACAGAGACGACCCAGTGTCACAGGTCACAGAATATCATGAGAAACACTGAGCAAGGAAATGGTCAGCCTTTAGGTCGACCTAGGCGTGTCTGCTCGACTTCAGCATGTATATCTAAAACAGATGTGTACCGAGCTGCTGATTCTGCATATAAAGAAAGCTTATGTCAAGACTACTTAATCACCTGAGTGACAGCAATATTTACGTCCATGTATTGAATTAAAACTAGACTACCTAAATCCTTTAAACGAAAAAAAGATCAGCCATCGTTAAATAATTATACAAGACAAAGAAATCAATATACAAATCTTACTCGTGAAAAAAAGAGACAATACCAAGAAGACATCAAAAGCGCAATAGTTAATAATATACATAATGGTAAACTGTTCTGGTCTTCGTTGAAGCGTTTATCTAACACTCAGCCTACTCCAAAACCGGACATTAACATAAACCAATGGTTGAAATACTTTCAGGGTATGTTTGAAACTAAATCTGATACAGTCACCGAAGATGAATGTATAAACACGAACACCGATCAGCTTGCAGATTCTGTTCTTGACTCTCCCATTCTCCAAGAGGAAGTTATTTTAATTCTATTAATTCATTAAAATATGGTAAATCAGCTGGTGCAGATAAACTTATAACTGAAATGTTTGAATATGCCCAGGATATACTATGTCCAATCTTGACTTTAATATTTAATGCAATGTTTGATACTTCATACTTTCCTTCTATGTGGACACATGGAGTTATTGTTCCCCTCCACAAAAAGGGTGATACTAAAATACCAGCCAACTACAGAGGTATAACAATACTGAGTGCTTTCAGTAAAGTCTACACTAACATATTAAATAAGAGATTATAGTTTTGGGGTGAATCATGTGATAAATTTGTCGAATCCCAGGCTGGCTTTCGTCGGGGCTACTCTACAGCTGACAATATTTTTATATTACAATCTATCATCCAGCGACATTTAGGTAAAAAGAGAAGTAAAGTGTATACACCTTTTGTAGATTTTTCGAAGGCTTTCGACTTTGTTGATAGATCAAAATTGTGGCGCGTATTAAACGTACATGGAGTCTCGCCAAAGATGTATAAAAATATCCAATCTATTTATAAATATGTTATCTCTTGCGTCAAATATGGAAACCAACAGATTTTTTCCCGTGTAATACTGGAGTCCGTCAAGGCTGTTTACTAAGTCCCTTCCTGTTTAATATGTTCATTAATGACTTGGCTCTAGAAATTGAATCTAAATGTGAACCAGGAATCCAGTTTCATCCAGAACTTCTTCAAGTGTTTTTATTATTGTTTGCGGGCGATGTCACTCTAATTGCTGATACTGTATTTGGCCTACGGAAGCGCATGGATGTTCCTAAAGATTTTTGTCATAGATATTCATTAACTGTTAACTTTGACAAAACTAAAGTAATGGTGTTCAGTAAGGGAGGAATGTTGTCTAAAAATGGAAAATGGTATTATGGAGATGTTAGATAAGAATGTGTTTCTTCTTGTAAATATTTGGGTGTATCATTCTCAAAAACTTTAAATTGGTCTAACCATGTATGAAATGCTGCACTTCAGGCCCAAAAAGTATTGTGTGATATTTTAAAATCACTGAGGAATGTAAAACCATTTGATTATAATGTATTTTTCAAGATATTGGATACCAGAATAGCACCAATATTGTTATATGGAGCTGAAATTTTGGGCTTAAATAAATACAAAGAAATTGAACAGATCCATTTATTAGCATGCAAACAATTTTTAGGCGTTAAGTCTTCGACACCTGATCATGTCGTAAGAGGCGAGTGTGGTCGATATCCTTTGTACATTTCAGCATATAAGCGTTGTATTACTTACTGGTGTAAGATAATATCTATGCCAAATAATCGTTACCCAAGAAAGAGCTATAATCTCTTGTTTAAAGAAGCTGTAAATGGCAAGATTAATTGGGTATCCAAGGTTAAAAATACCTTATATAAATTTGGTTTCGGCTATGTTTTTGGGAAAACGAATCAATTTCTTATCCAAAACTATTTATATTTGAATTTGTATCACGATTAAAATATATACATAAACAAGAATGGCATTCAGATATTGCTAGTAGTCCGAAAATGTACACCTATTCTTTATTTAAAAATTTTTTTTGTGTTGAACCGTATCTTCTAAATATCAGTATTGGTAAATGTCGTACTGCGCTTTGCCGCTATCGTTGTAGTTCGCACACACTCCATATTGAAGTGGGTAGATATTATAATGTCCCAAGAGACCAAAGACTTTGTAACCTCTGCATCATTGGTCTTATCGAAAACGAATACCATTTTCTGTTAATTTGTAAAACATATAATAATCTTAGAAACAAATATATTCCAGGAAAATATCATGTCCATCCTACATTACATAGATTTAACCTGTTGTTGTCATCACGAAAAACCTTTCACTATATATATTCCGTGCCATGAATATTAGAAGCTCGTTAATGTCCATTGTGGATCTGACTATCTAAATGTACAATAGGCCTACAGTGCGAAATGAATAAAGAAATACAACAGAATTAAAACTGTCACAGGCCTCGGATATTTTGAATAACATCTTTCACGAGGAGAATCAATGATTTTACGAGGGCTTCTCAATCTATTGTGTTTCCACGATGAACGGCCTTAATGTAGGAAGGTACAGATGTTGTGAAGTCTTCATGTGACATTTACTGGCTTGATCCAAAATTACCTTCTATAATCATTTATTAATTAATTTGCAAAACGTGATTTGAGTAGTTACAATATCTGAATCTAAACTTCTTATGTGTTTCGGAATGAAAAGATAAATGTTGATGAATTTACTGAGGCGAGAGGCCGTCATAAAGAAGAGTTTTCCCAGTCTCATTATATCTCATTCAACTGCAAAATCAATCGCGGCCTCTATGCGATACCTCAATACTCAAGGCCGCGTCAAGTGAACTTTCTGTCCAATCAGCGCCAAGCTTCTTACTTCTCGAGATGAGTGAGCGAAGCATTCAAACAAGCATATGTGGTATCTGTATATCAAAAACTAATGTAGTCGAGGGAGCCCGACTGTTGTGGGTATTTATGAATCATGTTGTTTCTGAGCGCCATGGCACCTGCACCCAAATGGTAGGGCCGTGAATGGTATGTCTGTGTTCTATGGCGGTTTTCGTTTGTTAATATCTAAGTTTCCGTGTCGAGGCGTTAAAGGAATAATGAAGCCGAATTGTTTAAGAAAGCTAACATCTGATTGGTTGAAGACACCACCCATCCTTCATTTTGACTTGGCGGTCAAAGTTCACTCAGTGTTCATCAAATCGCTTTGTTGCACAAAAACACGCAAGTCAGTCACTGCGTCTGCGTTAGCCCTAACGACCCCGAGTAACTGTAAACTGAACAAATCCTGTTAAAGTTTCTGAAACCGTAAATTCTGTTTTATTTGTAATTTCAGATGACATACACCCATTCCGCACCTAGTGCCTTAAAATCTCGAGACGCTCAAGCTTGCACGTGCCCCCAGGGACCTGGTGGGGAAAGGGGGCCGGAAGGCCCGAGGGGTAAGACCGGGCCCCAGGGGCCCCCAGGACCCCCGGGCGTTACCCTAGAAGCTGACCCAGAAAGAGGAGCAACACGGACGGTGATTGGTCAAGCTGGCCCAGTTGGGGCGCCGGGGCTGCCCGGTACTCCTGGTCCCGTGGGGCCCAGAGGCGAACAAGGACCCAGGGGTGAGCTGGGTATAGCCGGGCCTAAGGGGCCACCAGGCAAGGCGACGCTACAAGATGAACAGAGAGAGAAAGGTAAATGTAACCTCAACGTCTGCGAATTATGCACATTCTCCCAACACACTTACTACCATTACACCAACTCCAAACACACCTTCTCCTAATCCTAATAGACCTACTCCAATTACACCTACTCTCAATACACCTTCCAAAAGACCTACCCTCAATACACCTTCCAATACCTTCCAATTCACCTACACTCAATACACCTTCCAATACACCTACTCTCAATACACCTTCCAGTACCTTCCAATTCACCTACACTTAATACACCTTCCAATAAACCTACTCTCAATACACCTTCCAATACACCTACTCTCAATACACCTTCCAATACCTTCCAATTCACCTACACTCAATACACCTTCCAATACACCTTCTCTCAATACACCTTCCAATACCTTCCTATACACCTACACTCCATACACTTTCCAATACACCTACTCTAAATACACCTTCCAATACACCTACTCTCAATACACCATCCAATACTTTCCAATTCACCTACACTCAATACACCTTCCAATACACCTACTCTCAATACACCTTCCAATACCTTCCTATACACCTACACTCCATACACTTTCCAATACACCTACTCTCAATACACCTATCAATACACCTACTCTCAATACACCTTCCAACACACCTACACTCGATACAACTTCCAATACATCTACTCTCAATACACCTTCCAATACACCTTTTAATACACCTACTCTCAATACACCTTCCAATACACCTACACTCGATACACCTTCCAATACACCGACACTCGATACACCTTCCAATACACATACACTCGATACACCTTCCAATACACCTACACTCAATACACCTTCCAACACACCTACTCTCAATATTCTTTCCAATACACCTACTCTCAATACACCTTCCAATACACCTACAATCAATACACCTACTCTCAATATACTTTCCAATACACCTACTCTCAATACACCTTCAAATACACCTACTCTCAATACACCTTCAAATACACCTACTCTCAATACACCTTCAAATACACCTACTCTCAATACACTTTCCACTACAATTCTTCTCAAACCACGTTTATTGTCACCCCCGCCTCCCCAACCTCCCCCGCCCCCCTACACATCCACTCCCTGTAGAGTCCTCCTAACATCAATCAAGTATATTAAACTACGGTTATTACCACTAATCTGAGTTCGTTATATCCGTCGTTCGTTCTAAGCATTTCGATTGTCAGACATCTTGGATCAAGTCACGTGACCACATGCTACTCGATGCATGTTGACTTAACATCTCAGAACATCCTTCAGATGCGGCAGAGAGTCATCCTTTTTCATGACTAATGTTTGTCTGTGTCCATGACCTTAGCGGTGCTCAAGGTCGTTGAAAGCATTTGTAGTGATTTCCTCCAAAGAATTGAATGTATAAAGATTGTTAACCGAATGTGTAATATGATACGACATGCACGGGGGAATACTCTCTGTGTCATATCATGTCATTCTTAGAATAACCGAAGCCAAAGTCAATAGTGTTTTCAGCATGAAAACACCGCATCACGAATAGAGATTACTTGTAGTAGTTCCTGGTGGGTATTTCGTTTAGATAACAAGGATCGATAGTCTTCTATACAAGAACCATGAAGCTGGAAGCGATCATGTAGGGTCAGGACGGGTTGTTGAATGATTATATACTCAATTGCAAAATAAACGCACATCCTAAAGTATGGAAGTCGCGATCTGAGATTAGCCGTTGAAAGCCGACGCACAGGTCTGTTTTGGCTTCTTTTTGCAAGCCTAGCAGTAGTTGACGCTGAAAGGTGGCGCTGGTGCAAGTGAGAACGAACCATAACGTTAACCCGTAACACGTTGACGTCCGCTTCTTGGGCGGCCCTGCACACTGTAAGATTGCATATCTTAGTGTGGTGAACCTGTAGATCTCCTGTCATTCGTTTGGCCGTGTCTTCCAGCTTCAATCATGATCAGTACTCGATGACGATCGTTTATAGTCTGGACTTAGTTCATTCCTTGTCACTCAGAGAACTGTCGGGCGGTTAGTGTCAGGTTTCACTGTGACGGGTACCTGCAGCACCCAACAATCCATGTTTCACATTAAAACCGCGCATCGTGCTCTGAGCACGTCCTCGGAAGGACACTTTCTGACCATTCTTGCTGATAGATATCAACAGTCTCTGTCCAGTGTTCGAATCTAAAAACGTTGTTGTGCAAAATAGGTCACTTTTATTTGAAATCAATGACATCGGAAGTTACAACATGAGAAGGGCTTTTCTTTTGGAACTTAGTACATATATACCACGAATGGTCTTTTCTCAAAACGTTTCTTTAGACAAAATTGAAATACACTACCAGCATGTATTGCTTTTGTCTAGCACAAGAGAGCAGGATCCTGCTCCTGGAGGGGAAGGTCGAGTACTTGGAGGGCCGTGTTCTGGAACTGGAAGGGGAGCTTAACTCCACCGTGGATACAAGGAAGACCATTGACATCCTGGGGGACCGCATTCTGCTTCTGGAGCGGATCTTCCCGAAACTCGCAGGTGAGAAGTCATTGACAGGTTTTTGTGTCAACGACACCTATAGCTGTAACAGTGTCGAGGGACGTTACACTGTTAATTCCTTCAGAGAGAGGATTCGTGAGAGAAAGTATATCCAGTTGAATAGCTCAACTCTCGTATCTAGAAGCTCTTATACCTAAAGGAAGACATCGAGCGGAACACAAAGGCTGGAAGAACTAAAGTAACACGTGACCGAAAGTGTGACATGTTTCTACTGGTTGTTCTAATATGTTGTGCCGTTATATGGCTGAAATATTGCCGATCCGACGTTAAAAATTATAACTCACTCACTCACTTTAATCAGATGCAAAATGTCAAATGCTTATAGCTGCAATGTCTGACTGTACCCACATTCATTCCCTGTCACTAACTCCTGATTGCATGCCCTGTCAGCTCTGTAGGCGGAATGCTTCGCCTGAGCACGTCACAGCTGAACACGCCTCATCCTGTTCGTGTTAATGGAACATATCTCCTTTAGAGTGGCAATGGTTTTGATCAAGCTACGTCCAAAGTCTCCGTTCAGATGTTTGCAAAACGTGATTAACTCATTGTCAGTTTTAGAGGCTTAGTTACTTTTGTAGGCATGAAACTATAATTATATTACCGTTTTGGCAAACCCCTCCAGTTGGTCACGTGATAATTGGGACCGGCCGTTCAATATTCCGGGAGACTATGGGACAGGATAGATGTTAGATATAAACTGCCGGGCAAAAGAAAGTATACACCCTGATGGTGGCTAAATATGCACAAACAAGACATGGTCATTCGATAGTGCTGTATTTCATACAGGTATCACCGTTGTGTTGTCGACCTTAAGTCAGTGGTCCGGCGACCGTTGTTATCCTAGTAACGACGTTGAGATAACATTTTTAATTGTTTTCTTTGCAAGTATAGTGTTTTTTCTCGGGAAAGCCAACGAACAAGTTTGTAGAATCCGAGACAAAATTACTTTTTCCAGTATTTTCTGGAATATTTATTTTCTCAAAAAAGTCCACTTTCTGAATATCAAATGGTCGACATCAAGTTGGGGTGAAAGGTAGGGGATTACGACAACCTGTAATGTTTATCTCTGCATGATTTGTGAATGTCACACCGGAATGAGCATGCTCTATCTTTCACTTTCTCTCTGTCTTTTCGCAGAACTAGAGCTAAACGACCCATCCGCCTTGCCTTCTATCTTACGGGCCTATGCAGATGAGCATGGACGAGACAAGCCCAAAGCACGCAAACCCTTTCGCAAAGCAACCAATAAGAAACCGACTAACAGCTGATATGTGGAGGTCGCTATTAAAGGCGTGCAATGATTGGTTAAATATATTCGTTGTCACGGCGACCTTATTCTGAAGTGCAATGACTGGTGCATATCAACCATATGACCTCGTCTTTAATTGGCGCCTGCAATGTGCAATTATTATAAATGTTCAATACATTTAGATCTGTGAGATCTCCTGTAGAGTATTATATGTGACGTCATGAATGCAATCATAATCGTATATAGACGTGTGTCCCTTTGTACTTTGCATTAAACACAACCGTCCACCAAACCACGTGACTGTTCTGAGACTTTCTCACAAGGTTGACTCTCATGATCTGCATACGTTTGTTAATTTATCTGTCATATTGTAGAACAATGCAAAATGGTTATGTAGCATAACCCCGGTTATAACGAATGTAGGGGTTATGTCGACTCTGGGAATAGGGACTTGTTATGTCCGGGTATGTATCAGTAGTTTGATGATTAAGTACATCTCAAATATATCTTACCAAGCAACAGAACACCGTAGGGTGTCTTAGTACATCTCAACAATATCTTACCAAGCAACAGAAAACCGCAGGGTGTCTTAGTACATTACTACACTATCTTACCAAGAAACAGAACACCGTAGGGTGTCTTAGTACATCTCAACAATATCTTACCAAGCAACAGAACACCGTAGGGTGTCTTAGTACATCTCAACAATATCTTACCAAGAAACAGAACACCGCAGGGTGTCTTAGTACATCTCAACAATATCTTACCAAGCAACAGAACACCGTAGAGTGTCTTAGTACATCTCAACAATATCTTACCAAGAAACAGAACACCGTAGGGTGTCTTAGTACATCTCAACAATATCTTACCAAGCAACAGAAAACCGCAGGGTGTCTTAGTACATTACTACACTATCTTACCAAGCAACAGAACACCGTAGGGTGTCTTAGTACATCTCAACAATATCTTACCAAGCAACAGAACACCGTAGGGTGTCTTTGTACATCTCAACAATATCTTACCAAGAAACAGAACACCGCAGGGTGTCTTAGTACATCTCAACAATATCTTACCAAGAAACAGAAAACCGCAGGGTGTCTTAGTACATCTAAACAATATCTTACCAAGAAACAGAACACCGCAGGGTGTCTTAGTACATCTCAACAATATCTTACCAAGCAACAGAACACCGTAGGGTGTCTTAGTACATCTCAACAATATCTTACCAAGAAACAGAACACCGTAGGGTGTCTTAGTACATCTCAACAATATCTTACCAAGAAACAGAACACCGTAGGGTGTCTTAGTACATCTCAACAATATCTTACCAAGAAACAGAACACCGTAGGGTGTCTTAGTACATCTCAACAATATTTTACCAAGCAACAGAACACCGTAGGGTGTCTTTGTACATCTCAACAATATCTTACCAAGAAACAGAACACCGTAGGGTGTCTTAGTACATCTCAACAATATCTTACCAAGCAACAGAAAACCGCAGGGTGTCTTAGTACATTACTACACTATCTTACCAAGCAACAGAACACCGTAGGGTGTCTTAGTACATCTCAACAATATCTTACCAAGCAACAGAAAACCGCAGGGTGTCTTAGTACATTACTACACTATCTTACCAAGCAACAGAACACCGTAGGGTGTCTTAGTACATCTCAACAATATCTTACCAAGCAACAGAACACCGTAGGGTGTCTTTGTACATCTCAACAATATCTTACCAAGAAACAGAACACCGTAGGGTGTCTTAGTACATCTCAACAATATCTTACCAAGCAACAGAACACCGTAGGCTCATCTCAACAATATCTTACCAGGAATCAAACACGTTTAGCATCGAGACATATATCTGTCCCCTTTCGAAAGAGATCATCAGAGATGTTTGCGAAATTTCTCAATTGATCTGTCATTTTGTTTTTAATTTCATTTGGATATCTTCACAATGATCGTTTGAACCATATATTGTATCTTGATGTCTTGTTTTACATTACGTTCGTATTGATGATGTGAAAACAATTGGACATTAATTAGTTTATGTTGTTTCTTCATACGCTTACAAGTTCACGTACGCTGTGCCCTGTTCCATCCCATTGCTTCTTATTGACCATCTTCAATATCGTGGTGATATTTGTTTACCCCTTACCTCAAGTCAATGTACCAGGTTGCAAGTATGCAGATCTTTCTGTCGTACTCTGTTATATGTAAGCTTCGTTCAGGGGATGCTCTGTTTCCTTAGTGTGTTCTTCCCCGAGAAGAGCATATCTTTTAAGCTTCTTGCAGCGTGTTGGTTGTGACGTTTTACTACGCATATCGGTAGTTTGTGAGGACCTGAGAACCGTCAGGTGAAGGACCTGAGAACCGTCAGGTGAAGGACCTGAGTGGAGGCAGGGCCTGCACACACTCTGCGCACTCCGATACAGCTGATTGTACAGTCGTTATGACATTAGAAGTAAAGTCTGTGTGTGTTCGGGAACCTTTGTGTTGTTGAATTTGTTTTGATTTTCTACTTGACATCAACGCCATGATCGATACCAGGTGAATCGCTTGATAGGCATTACTTAGAAGTTGACGGATGACAAAGTAGACACAATTTATGGAAAACAACTTCTTTAATACTGTGAAGGCGACGTTTCGGTATAGATCCTTATACCGTTGTCAAGCAAGGACTTGGACTTCACCAAAGCTCGACAATGCGACAACGCGACATTTTTCAAGGTCAAAAGATGTCGGCGTTGTCGCTTTGTCGCATTGTCGCGTTGTCGCATTGTCGCCCTATCAAAAATGTGTAAGAAAGGAGTATAACAATTCCGGCGCACCATTAATCGAGAAGGGGACAATGCGACAAATGGCCAAAATGTCGCGTTATCGCGTTGTCGCCTTGTCGTGCTTTGGTTAATTATGACACTTTTTGCTTGTTTTTGGAAGGGCGACAACGCGACAATGTCCCTTCTACTATTCCATAGTTATTGGGTAACTATTCTAAGCCGGAATCCTTACGGAGGCACACCATTGCTAGTGGCGTGATTAAGTGTGATGGTACACCGTTACTAGTGGCGTGATTGCGTGTGATTGTACACCGTTACCAGTGGCGTGATTCCATGTCATGGTACACCGTTTCTATTGGCGTGATTGCGTGTGAAGGTACACCGTTTCTAGTGGCGTGATTGCGTGTGGTGGTACACCGTTACCAGTGGCTTGATTGTGTGAGATGATTCTACAATTCTTATGGAATGTTGCGTCCCTTGGTCGTGTCAGGATCCGATATGATGGGTTTGAATCTTTTTGTAAGATTAATTTAAGCTCCACACTTTTATCAGCTCCTACCCGTGCTCGTGGGTTTTACAAAAGAGGTAAACGTGTACGACCTGCTTCACACTGAGCAGACACGCTGTGATAGTTTCTGCTCACAAAAATTTGTTTGTCACATATTGTATAACGCCGCACTCAGCAATATTCCAGCTATATGACGGCGGTCTGTAAATAATCGATTCGGACCAGACAATCCCGTGATTGACATCATGAGCATCGAGCCTGACTACCCGATCCCGTTAGTCGCCTCTTACGACAAGCATAGTCGTCTTTGACGGCAAGCGTGGGTTACTGAAGACCTATTCTACCCCGGATCTTCACGGGTCTGCTCACAAAAGAGAGGGGCCATGCGAACAGAGTGAAGTTTTAAATGTAAAAAGTAAAACCGCAAAACATTGACAAAGAACACATCTTGTAGGAGAGGACATGGACACCATCTGCCACGTGACAAGTTCCTGCAAAACCAGGAAGAAAAATTATACTCAGGGCTTCCGCGGGTGGGTGACGTTGGGGTTGTTTCAAGATCCACTTTATATTCTATATGTTTCATTAAGTGCAATATATAAGATAATAATATTATGTCGATGACACACAGACTGGACATAAGGATATTGTCATCACAGGTTGTATTGATGTGAGTATGCTATGTTTCCGAACAGGTTGTTCTGTTTTGTTTCTGTGTGTGAAAACAGTTCGCACACACTGCTTTACTTCGCGGATACATATCTAAAAGCATGAACAAAACATGCATGTGCGCCACGTGTCGACCACACTGTGTCGTTGTAATGTCAGTTTGGCTTTAGAGTTAGGATAGGCAACATCGCTCGACACGCATGTCATTCAGTTATCGTGATCATAATAGAAATTTGGGATTTCAGAAAGTTTGGAAATGTGAATTAAAGTACCATAGTAATTGTTGTTTGTAAGTGTTGCTGTTAACCAAAATAAAACTTTTGTAAATGATTTAGTGTTCTTTGCCTGCCTATTGCATTTGTACTATTTCTGCTGACCACAGACAGTTTCAGTAGGGCATGGATGATTAAGAATAACTATGCCTCAAACTAGGCTGGACCAGGTTGTTGTGGATTGTCCCCCTTTAACACCTTGACCTTCGTGTTCCAGGGGAGATGGAGAAAGCGGACCTAAAACAGATGCCGTTCAGGGCTGAAAACAACGACGAAGATAATGTTGTGAAAACTGACCGATCACAATATGGACGTCAGAGTCACATGCAACAGGACTGCGCATGCCCAAGACCTCCAACCCCACCACCGCTTCCGGCCAACCTGACCAACTTCCTGTTTGCCAATGCATCGAATGCCTTCACGGAGTGCAGGCGTCTGGGTTACCTCAGTATGCTGGATGCAAATTTCAAAGGGCATTCGTTTCCATCGAGACAAACGCTGAAAAGAGACTTGAATTTGCCCGTAATACCCTTACCCGCTCACACAAACACTGGGACAAAACTACACACCGTTTACACTGCAAGTTGGTACATGTTAATTTGGCAATTATTTGGACCACAGTCAGACCCTTAATGTGTCATAAAGTTGGGAAAATGTGCAATTCGACGAAAGAATCAAAACTAATATTGACCTAGGCTTTCAATTAAAATTATATACGTTTGTCTAGATGGTATCAGAATATTAAAGACTGTGGACAATTGACAAACGTTCCATGGAATAGATTAATATGCGATATTGACATGGTAAAGAAAAGACTGGAAGCACATTAGTATAAGGTAAGACCAGTTTAGTGTTTATCCGCAAATATTTTCTATATTTTATATATTTATTGCACAGTAAGACACAATGTACAGTATTTTATATATTTATTGCACAGTAAGACACAATGTACAGACACTAAAATACATATATGAAAAAAACTTAAATATAAAAAATGTCATTTTCTTTCAGAGACGTCATCTGTCTAACACTAAGTCTGTCAGCTTCAGCACTAGTCACGTGACATGTATATACTGAATAAAACCACTTCAACATGTCTGTGTATCTTTTCCTGGTGATTCCCTGCAGTATAAAACGCTCGTGGTTAGAGCGTCTGCCCGGAGCGCGGAAGGTCGGGGGTTCCATCCCCGGCCGCGGCATACCCCAAGAAACGTTAAAAGGTGGTATTTGTTGTTTCCCTGCCTGGTGGGGTCATTATTCTGTTGCTGAGTGGGTATCATTTTGGAACTGTGGCATGGTATTCTCTGTGGGCTAGCACTGGAAAGCCTACATTAGTCCGGACAATAACAATCACACACGCACGCAGACGCACGCACGCACGCACGCGCGCGCACGCACGCACGCACGCACACACACACCATTTCAACACACCACGATCACCCAGTAATACAACTGGGTATGTTTATCGCGTGGCCTTTCTTGCATCACTTGATGATCTATCTACATGTATAGAAATGACAATGCTCAAAGCTGCCATATACTGTCTGTACATACAGTGTGCCTGGTACTGCGTCATTTAGACAACGGCCACGCCAGTGGACTAATGTGAGCACGTGGTGCACGTGCATCATATCATAGAGTGTTCCGCATCAAGTCAGGCTGTATAGCTTCAGATTCTAAACACAAACCTAAACACGTTCCTTGTCCCATAATGGAACTAAACATGTGTAGGATTTTGTTTAAATGGTGAATGTGTTTAGGGTCTAAATGTGGGAAAAACCCGACTGGGACATTATCTGACTACATACAGCCGTGGTGTATAACCAGGATATTATCTGACTACATACAGCCGTGGTGTATAACTGGGACATTATCTGACTACATACAGCCGTGGTGTATAACTGGGACATTATCTGACTACATACAGTCGTGGTGTATAACTGGGACATTATCTGACTACATACAGTCGTGGTGTATAACTGGGATATTATCTGACTACATACAGCCGTGGTGTATAACTGGGACATTATCTGACTACATACAACCGTGGTGTACAACTGGGATATTATCTGACTACATACAGCCGTGGTGTATAACCAGGATATTATCTGACTACATACAGCCGTGGTGTATAACTGGGACATTATCTGACTACATACAGCCGTGGTGTATAACTGGGACATTATCTGACTACATACAGTCGTGGTGTATAACTGGGATATTATCTGACTGCATACAGCCGTGGTGTATAACTGGGACATTATCTGACTGCATACAACCGTGGTGTATAACCAGGATATTATCTGACTACATACAGTCGTGGTGTATAACTGGGATATTATCTGACTACATACAGCCGTGGTGTATGACTGGGATATTATCTGACTACATACAGCCGTGGTGTATAACTGGGATATTATCTGACTGCATACAGCCGTGGTGTATAACTGGGATATTATCTGACTACATACAGCCGTGGTGTATAACTGGGATATTATCTGACTGCATACAGCCGTGGTGTATAACTGGGACATTATCTGACTACATACAACCGTGGTGTACAACTGGGACATTATCTGACTACATACAGCCGTGGTGTATAACTGGGACATTATCTGACTACATACAGCCGTGGTGTATAACTGGGACATTATCTGACTACATACAGCCGTGGTGTATAACTGGGACATTATCTGACTACATACAGCCGTGGTGTATAACTGGGACATTATCTGACTACATACAGCCGTGGTGTATAACTGGGACATTATCTGACTACATACAGTCGTGGTGTATAACTGGGACATTATCTGACTACATACAGTCGTGGTGTATAACTGGGATATTATCTGACTGCATACAGCCGTGGTGTATAACTGGGACATTATCTGACTGCATACAACCGTGGTGTATAACCAGGATATTATCTGACTACATACAGTCGTGGTGTATAACTGGGATATTATCTGACTACATACAGCCGTGGTGTATGACTGGGATATTATCTGACTACATACAGCCGTGGTGTATAACTGGGATATTATCTGACTGCATACAGCCGTGGTGTATAACTGGGATATTATCTGACTACATACAGCCGTGGTGTATAACTGGGATATTATCTGACTGCATACAGCCGTGGTGTATAACTGGGACATTATCTGACTACATACAACCGTGGTGTACAACTGGGACATTATCTGACTACATACAGCCGTGGTGTATAACTGGGACATTATCTGACTACATACAGCCGTGGTGTATAACTGGGACATTATCTGACTACATACAGCCGTGGTGTATAACTGGGACATTATCTGACTACATACAGTCGTGGTGTATAACTGGGATATTATCTGACTGCATACAGCCGTGGTGTATAACTGGGACATTATCTGACTACATACAGCCGTGGTGTATAACTGGGACATTATCTGACTACATACAGCCGTGGTGTATAACTGGGACATTATCTGACTACATACAACCGTGGTGTACAACTGGGATATTATCTGACTACATACAGCCGTGGTGTACAACTGGGATATTATCTGACTACATACAGCCGTGGTGTATAACTGGGACATTATCTGACTACATACAGTCGTGGTGTACAACTGGGACATTATCTGACTACATACAGCCGTGGTGTATAACTGGGACATTATCTGACTACATACAGCCGTGGTGTATAACTGGGACATTATCTGACTACATGCAACCGTGGTGTACAACTGGGATATTATCTGACTACATACAGCCGTGGTGTACAACTGGGATATTATCTGACTACATACAGCCGTGGTGTATAACTGGGACATTATCTGACTACATACAGCCGTGGTGTATAACTGGGACATTATCTGACTACATACAGCCGTGGTGTATAACCAGGATATTATCTGACTACATACAGTCGTGGTGTATAACTGGGATATTATCTGACTACATACAGCCGTGGTGTATAACTGGGACATTATCTGACTACATACAGCCGTGGTGTATAACTGGGATATTATCTGACTACATACAGCCGTGGTGTATAACTGGGATATTATCTGACTACATACAGCCGTGGTGTATAACCAGGATATTATCTGACTACATACAGTCGTGGTGTATAACTGGGATATTATCTGACTACATACAGCCGTGGTGTATGACTGGGATATTATCTAACTACATACAACCGTGGTGTATAACTGGGACATTATCTGACTACATACAGTCGTGGTGTACAACTGGGACATTATCTGACTACATACAGCCGTGGTGTATAACTGGGACATTATCTGACTACATACAGCCGTGGTGTATAACTGGGACATTATCTGACTACATGCAACCGTGGTGTACAACTGGGATATTATCTGACTACATACAGCCGTGGTGTACAACTGGGATATTATCTGACTACATACAGCCGTGGTGTATAACTGGGACATTATCTGACTACATACAGCCGTGGTGTATAACTGGGACATTATCTGACTACATACAGCCGTGGTGTATAACCAGGATATTATCTGACTACATACAGTCGTGGTGTATAACTGGGATATTATCTGACTACATACAGCCGTGGTGTATAACTGGGACATTATCTGACTACATACAGCCGTGGTGTATAACTGGGATATTATCTGACTACATACAGCCGTGGTGTATAACTGGGACATTATCTGACTACATACAGCCGTGGTGTATAACCAGGATATTATCTGACTACATACAGTCGTGGTGTATAACTGGGATATTATCTGACTACATACAGCCGTGGTGTATGACTGGGATATTATCTAACTACATACAACCGTGGTGTATAACTGGGACATTATCTGACTACATACAGTCGTGGTGTATAACTGGGACATTATCTGACTACATACAGCCGTGGTGTATAACTGGGACATTATCTGACTACATGCAACCGTGGTGTACAACTGGGATATTATCTGACTACATACAGCCGTGGTGTACAACTGGGATATTATCTGACTACATACAGCCGTGGTGTACAACTGGGATATTATCTGACTACATACAGCCGTGGTGTATAACTGGGACATTATCTGACTACATACAGCCGTGGTGTATAACTGGGACATTATCTGACTACATACAGCCGTGGTGTATAACCAGGATATTATCTGACTACATACAGTCGTGGTGTATAACTGGGATATTATCTGACTACATACAGCCGTGGTGTATAACTGGGACATTATCTGACTACATACAGCCGTGGTGTATAACTGGGATATTATCTGACTACATACAGCCGTGGTGTATAACTGGGACATTATCTGACTACATACAGCCGTGGTGTATAACCAGGATATTATCTGACTACATACAGTCGTGGTGTATAACTGGGATATTATCTGACTACATACAGCCGTGGTGTATGACTGGGATATTATCTAACTACATACAACCGTGGTGTATAACTGGGACATTATCTGACTACATACAGTCGTGGTGTATAACTGGGATATTATCTGACTACATACAGCCGTGGTGTACAACTGGGATATTATCTGACTACATACAGTCGTGGTGTATAACTGGGACATTATCTGAGTACATACAACCGTGGTGTACAACTGGGATATTATCTGACTACATACAGTCGTGGTGTATAACTGGGATATTATCTGACTACATACAGCCGTGGTGTATAACTGGGACATTATCTGACTACATACAGCCGTGGTGTATAACTGGGACATTATCTGACTACATACAGCCGTGGTGTATAACTGGGATATTATCTGACTACATACAGCCGTGGTGTATAACTGGGACATTATCTGACTACATACAGCCGTGGTGTATAACTGGGATATTATCTGACTGCATACAGCCGTGGTGTATAACTGGGATATTATCTGACTACATACAGCCGTGGTGTACAACTGGGACATTATCTGAGTACATACAACCGTGGTGTATAACTGGGACATTATCTGACTACATACAGTCGTGGTGTATAACTGGGATATTATCTGACTACATACAGCCGTGGTGTATAACTGGGACATTATCTGAGTACATACAACCGTGGTGTACAACTGGGATATTATCTGACTACATACAGTCGTGGTGTATAACTGGGATATTATCTGACTACATACAGCCGTGGTGTATAACTGGGACATTATCTGACTACATACAGCCGTGGTGTATAACTGGGACATTATCTGACTACATACAGCCGTGGTGTATAACTGGGATATTATCTGACTACATACAGCCGTGGTGTATAACTGGGACATTATCTGACTACATACAGCCGTGGTGTATAACTGGGATATTATCTGACTACATACAGCCGTGGTGTATAACTGGGATATTATCTGACTACATACAGCCGTGGTGTATAACTGGGACATTATCTGACTACATACAGCCGTGGTGTATAACTGGGATATTATCTGACTACATACAGCCGTGGTGTATAACTGGGATATTATCTGACTACATACAACCGTGGTGTACAACTGGGATATTATCTGACTACATACAGCCGTGGTGTATAACTGGGACATTATCTGACTACATACAGTCGTGGTGTATAACTGGGATATTATCTGACTGCATACAGCCGTGGTGTATAACTGGGACATTATCTGACTACATACAGTCGTGGTGTACAACTGGGATATTATCTGACTACATACAACCGTGGTGTATAACTGGGACATTATCTGACTACATACAGCCGTGGTGTATAACAATGTTGAAACATTGAAATGACATTGATTTTGCTTTGATTTGAGAGTTGAAATGTCGACGTTGGCTCATCATCAGATATTAGTAATACATTTGGCTGTGTTTAGGTTGCATTGATACACGCAGCTCTAGGAAGTATATCATCGGTTCAAATGGACCCCCAAGACTTTGCTCCTCATCTGAGGCGCCCGATTTAAGATCTGGTCTTCAGCAATCCTGCTTGTTGTAAGAGGCGACTAACGGAATCGGGTGGCCAGGTTCCCTGACTTGGTTGTTGCATGTCATCGTATCCTAACTGTGTAGATCGATGCTCGTGATGTCAATCACTAGATTGTCTGGTCCAAGTATATTATTTACAGACCGTCGTCATTAAGCCGAGTGCGGCGTTACACAACAAACAAACACTCCAACAAAAATGTATAGCCTGGTTGGGGTGGGTGAGGATTTTACAGCTGTTTTTATCATGGCCCCACGTACATGCAATATTCCTCATAAAATGGTATGTTTGTTTGTTGTTTGACGTCGTACTCGGCAGTATTCCAGCTGTATGACGGCAGGTATAATGACAATATCCTGATAACAATATTAAACCAAGCTAGCATGTCACTAACTGTTTTTAAATAATTGATTATCAAAACAGGTAGACGTTTAGAACAATATGTTAATCCAGTCTAATCGGCGAATGTGTCTCCTTCAAATGAAACACCCTAATAAAACATATGACGCAATATCAAAAGCATCCGTCATGTCAACTCGGAACCAAGTGAAATGGGATGGTGGTATGTTCAAAGAAATAGCAAAAAAATATTTTAAACCGCTAATGCAGGTTCTAGCATCTGCACTAAACTCCAGTTAAAATAACTTATCTTCAAACCAAGAAACATCATATTGATCAAAGCTTTTGTAAACGTGTAATTAAATAAGACAGATTGTGTAGATGTAGAAATATGTTTAAATCTATTTGAAATGAGCAGCCGAATGACAGAAAAGCTAGTTTCCACCAAACAATTATTTATTCCTAGTGGTTGTTTTTTTCTGGTTACAAGTTAGCTCCCTTTGTTTACAGAGAGGGCGCTGTAACTTCCCGCTTGCATTCAAACGACTTGCCATTGTTTACGTTTGTCGCATCATCATACGCATTTTTTTTTAAAACAATCAGCTTCATTAACAATCACGATGTCTATGTCAGTATACGACTATGTTCGTTTAGCCGCCCTGATTGTCATTGTCATAGTTTTGGCAACCCAGAAGGCGAAAACATTTATTCTTGTCGACGCAGTTCTCACTGTAACTAGTGGAGTACTGGCAATTTGGGGATTTTCACCATTGACGTACGAATCTGAGGTGAGTATTTTGTTCAGTCAGGCGTCACAGATAAAGTTTGATAAACAATCACCTCTAAAGTCTATTAGCTATTTGTGGAATTCTTCTGAATAAAAGGCGCAGAGCAGTGCAGCGTAGGCCTATTCCATATTTATTCAGAGTGAAAGTTGAAACGAAAATAGTCTCCCTGGCCAATCCCAGGCTATGCAATAAAAAGTAGGCCTATAGGATACATGTCAATTTGATTATCACGATTATAAAGATGAGATTATCCTCTGCTGTTCAAGCCCATAGTAATATTATTCCAAAATTCACCTGTCATTTTCCCGTTTTTTCATAACATGTATGTAGATCTCAATCAATATCACTGATGCCCTGTTATTTTCGTGACACCATTAGGCCTACATACATTGGAGCCGCAATAGAATATGTTCGCCACTATTTTCATTCAAGGATCCAAGGGCTAAAGATAGAGTTGTGGGTAACCTACCCTAACTCTACCAAAATTAACCTTAGGGAATGTAAATGTGTATTGTATGTACATAATATTATGTAATTATGTATATATAATTATGTATATATGTAATTAACTTGAGATGTACCTAGTTTTTATCATGTTTATGATGCTGTTGGGTGGCGGACAGATTCTGTAATTGCACCCATACATTCATCAGCATTATAAATTGAAAAGTCAGTTGCTTAGAATGATTAGTACTGTTATGGTTTAGTATACTGAGACTGGGTAGCCAGGTATTGTTGAACACAACATGCAAAACAACTCATATTTCTCAGTGTCTGAATGATAGGACTTTTGCAGAGATTATTTCCTCTGTAATGTGTATCCACGTCTGCATTGTCACCAGGAATGTGTCTGTTGAAGGGAAACAACAGTCTAACCCTCAGTCATCTATCCAGCGCTGTTTTAATATTCTGCGAAATCACCAGATACCAATTAGTGCCAGCGACAAAAAACTGGACTTCGGTCCAACGTTGGAGGACCTTGTTGACAGTGAGGGGAATGCCATTGGATCCTCGCATTTGATTGGATGATGCTTACAATGACAGTGGGGTAGCCTATTGGTTAAAGCTTTCCCTCGTCATGTCGAGGACCCTTGTTCGATTCATGACGTCACGTGGGTACAATGTGTGAAGCCTATTTCGGGTGCTCCCAGCCGTGCTATTGCTAAAGCTAAACTCACTCACTACCTTGGCCTTTCACCATGCAAATTCACCTGCATGTGGAAATGTCATCATTGATATATCTGTTAATATATGCACTGTCACCATGAATGTGTCTGTTTCAGTCAACTGTGGCCTATAATGGCCTTCACGTCCTCCTGTTTCAAACTTTCATGTGCGCCGGTGTCATGCCAGCCTTGTTCTACTTATTCTTTGCCCGCTCCGCCAAAGACGACGATGCAGCACAAGGCCTCCTTGCCACCCGTACTCTCGTGAGTAGCTCAATGTTTATGTTATTTACAGTTGTTTGTTTGATGGTTTTACTTATCACATAATCATATACTTTATGATCATACCACAACATCTATGTGGACCCGTGAAGATCCAGGGTAGAATAGGTCTTCAGCAAGCCGTGCTTGCCGTAAAAAAACGTGTATGCTTGTCGTAAGATGCGACTAACGTAATCGGCTGGTCAGACTCAATGATTTGATTGATGCATGTCATCACATCCTAATTGCGTGGATCAATGCTCATGATGTCAATCACTGGTTTGTCTGGTCCAAATTGGTCATACAGCGAGTCTTTTGCTGACTGCAGCGTTAAACAAAGAAAACAAATATCTGTCATGTTTTTAAACCTAGATCCAAGAATTGACAGTGAATGTAAACTTAAGCATGAAAATCACCAGATGGTCAAAGGGTCATTGTTTTCACCTTCATATTCAGTGTTTAGGGGGTCCCTAGATTCCAAAACTGTATTTCCTTGGGAACCCCCTGTAATCTGAAACACAGTCAGTGCCTCCTCTAGTGTTCAGTGTGTATCAAGGATCCCGGGAGCGTGTATACTTTTGAACACTGTTTGTGTTGTTGTGATTGTGATCATGTTGTTGATTCTGGACACTTCTGATTTACAGACAATTGGTCTGTGTACGTTCATCATGGCCCTCAACCAGTGGAGACACCCCAAGATCTTCAAGGACACAGTAAGTACATATGCACTAGGGAAGTGTTGGATAGAGTGATTTTATCAGAATCGCAGAAAAATATACAATCCATTTACTGCTTACTCACTTTCTCAACACGTTATTGACTAATACTTTAACCAGTGAATACCCACTGACTACACTGACTACACAACCACACTGTCTACACAACCACACTGGCTACACAACCACACTGGCTACACAACCACACTGGCTACACAACCACACTGACTACACAACCACACTGGCTACACAACCACACTGGCTACACAACCACACTGGCTACACAACCACACTGACTGCACAACCACACTCACTACACAACCACACTCACTACACAACCACACTCACTACACAACCACACTGGCTACACAACCACACTGACAACACAACCACACTGACTGCACAACCACACTGTCTACACAACCACACTGACTGCACAACCACACTCACTACACAACCACACTGACTGCACAACCACACTGACTACACAACCACACTGCCTACACAACCACACTGACTGCAGAAACACACTCACTTCACAACCACACTCACTACACAACCACACTCACTACACAACCACACTCACTACACAACCACACTGTCTACGCAACCACACTCACTACACAACCACACTCACTACACAACCACACTCACTACACAACCACACTCACTACACAACCACACTCACTACACAACCACACTCGCTAAACAACCACACTGGCTACACAACCACACTGACTGCACAAACACACTCACTACACAACCACACTCACTACACAACCACACTCACTACACAACCACACTCACTACACAACCACACTGACTACACAACCACACTGCCTACACAACCACACTGACTGCAGAAACACACTCACTTCACAACCACACTCACTACACAACCACACTCACTACACAACCACACTCACTACACAACCACACTGTCTACGCAACCACACTCACTACACAACCACACTCACTACACAACCACACTCACTACACAACCACACTCACTACACAACCACACTCGCTAAACAACCACACTGGCTACACAACCACACTGACTGCACAAACACACTCACTACACAACCACACTCACTACACAACCACACTCACTACACAACCACACTCACTACACAACCACACTCACTACACAACCACACTCACTACACAACCACACTGTCTACGCAACCACACTCACTTCACAACCACACTCACTACACAACCACACTGACTACACAACCACACTGACTACACAACCACACTCGCTAAACAACCACACTGGCTACACAACCACACTGACTGCACAAACACACTCACTACACAACCACACTCACTACACAACCACACTCACTACACAACCACACTCACTACACAACCACACTCACTACACAACCACACTCACTACACAACCACACTGACTGCACAACCACACTGACTGCACAACCACACTGTCTACACAACCACACTGGCTACACAACCACACTGACTGCACAACCACACTGACTACACAACCACACTGACTGCACAACCACACTGACTGCACAACCACACTGACTACACAACCACACTGACTACACAACCACACTGACTACACAACCACACTCACTACACAACCACACTCACTACACAACCACACTGGCTACACAACCACACTCACTACACAACCACACTGGCTACACAACCACACTGGCTGCACAACCACACTGACTGCACAACCACACTGACTGCACTGACTACACAACCAGACTGTCTACACAACCACACTGTCTACACAACCACACTCACTACACAACCACACTGACTGCACAACCACACTGTCTACACAACCACACTGGCAACACAACCACACTGGCTACACAACCACACTGACTACACAACCACACTCACTACACAACCACACTGGCAACACAACCACACTGTCTGCACAACCACACTGGCAACACAACCACACTCACTACACAACCACACTCACTACACAACCACACTCACTACACAACCACACTGGCTACACAACCACACTCACTACACAACCACACTGGCAACACAACCACACTCACTACACAACCACACTCACTACACAACCACACTCACTACACAACCACACTGGCAACACAACCACACTCACTACACAACCACACTGGCAACACAACCACACTCACTACACAACCACACTGTCTACACAACCACACTGGCAACACAACCACACTGACTACACAACCACACTCACTTCACAACCACACTGGCAACACAACCACACTCACTACACAACCACACTGGCAACACAACCACACTGTCTACACAACCACACTGGCAACACAACCACACTGACTACACAACCACACTCACTACACAACCACACTGGCTACACAACCACACTCACTACACAACCACACTGTCTACATAACCACACTGACCACACAACCACACTGGCTACACAACCACACTCACTACACAACCACTCTGACAACACAACCACACTCACTACACAACCACACTGTCTACATAACCACACTGGCTACATAACCACACTGGCTACATAACCACAATGACTATGCAACCACACTGGTAACACAACCACACTTACAACATAACCACACTGTCTACACAACCACACTGGCAGCACAACCACACTGGCTAAGCCATCTTTTGTTGCAGCATGTTTCCGTCCGACTGTCATCATCTGTGCTTTGGTTCTGTCTGGCGGCGTATGCTCTGTACCGGAGCGGCATCACTCCCCCAAAACGTGGCCGAATCTCTGCCATCAACCTGTACATCAAGATCGACATCGTCATTGCAGCCCTGTATGGTGCCTTTGACCTCCTGTTTGCACGCTTCGCTGGCAGTTTATTGGTGAGTACAATCATTATAATAACAATAAGTACTTTTGTTATTCGCAAAATCCCTTTCACTCAGTATCAGTGCCACAAAGAGTGTAAGGATCATACTTTGTAAACAAATAAATCTGAATATTTGTTTTGTAGGTGAAAGAGGATGAAGTTTGAGGGTAAACATTGAGTTGTAGACACATGTAGTCTCCAAAGATATTTACCTTTGACAGAAACAAACAACTACATGTAATTTGAGCAGGAGCCTTCATATTGTTATATAGAGTAAAGAGATGTAGGTTAACATGACCTCATTAACGTATGATCTCATTGTCCAGTCCGGACGCTTCGACCTCCTCCACGAGCACATACTGACCCTTGAGGGTGCAGCGAATCTATCCACTGCTGTGTTGGGAGTCTACGCCCTCGGTGTCCGCAACATCGCTGAGAGGAAGGGCTATCTGTGCTGTCGCCTCACCGTAAGTATGTCCCTGTTACCAAGGGATGATAATCTTCCGCGGATGCACGAATTTTAGTGATCGCACATTTGTTAAATTCTAATGAACCCCCTCTAAACATCCCCAAATTATGGACCTCGCTCCATTGAAAAGATATTTGAAAAGAACTATTCATTCTCATCCCTGGTTACCATGGTTACACCCTGATCAGTTTGAAGTAGTACACGCTAAGCGGTCGTTCGTGTAACGTGTCCTTCATGAAAAAAGGTAACACATGTTATACATGATTTCATGATGATATGTCCGATAAGGGTAAAGGGGTCACATTGCCTGTTATGGTGTCTTTACTCACTCACTTGAATATTGCTGAGTGTGGCGTTAAACAACAAACAAACAAACCTGTGTCATAGTTTTGGGCTGAAGTGTGTATATGTTTTGTGTGTGCTAGGGCTGCAACGAAATACACTTAGACGCAAATATGATTCGTATCACGTATATAGGGTAACAAATACAAATATTAATTCACGAATACAATAACAAGTCAGCAGTTGATGTATCATTTATTATATTCATTGAAACAATAACAACATAAATTCTTTGACATGGTTTATCCATTATTAATATACATTTATATACTGCACTTATCCAGGCACTAGTATCGGCTAAAATGCGACAATGAACAGTGTCAACAATACTGTCAAATTAAGTATTATAAGAGTGTTGTTTTTGAAAGAAATCTATGCATATATGTTCTTATGGATGTTATTAGGTACAGGGTATGTAAATGCACGTAATTGCATATTCACAAATATTCGATTCTAGTGGCCACGAATAACAAATTCAATTAATGAATGGATAGGGTTCGATTCAGCCCTAGTGTGTTCCTATTGATAAGGTTGATGTTCTCCTGCAGGTCCTGCTGCTGGGTGCATGCTGCCTGGCGTGTGGACTGTACAACAAGAAGCTGTCCCTGACTGGCTCAGACATGGCCGTGTTTGCATCAGGCTTCATTCCGGTCATCCCAGCGGTCACTGGCCTCGTGCTGACCGGGGACAAGAGGATCTTCACCTCATCTACCTCAGCTGGCTACAACCTTCGCAGGCGGGACTAACATACCAGCATACCTGACGTACATCCTTGCCCAGATCCTGTTGTAACTCCTACACTTCGTCATCCACTAATGATAGTTGTAGTTCTAAGATGGCTTTATGCAAGGGGGCTCTGGTGACACTGGATTGTGGTTTCTAGATTCCTTATTCTCTGCAGTGTAAAACCATTTCTGGTTTGGTGTGGTATCACAAGACTTGGTCCTCAGCTCATGTAAAACATCCCCACCGTTTTTTGTTGTATAGGACAGGACGTGGCCTCATGACATGATGGCTCCCCGTTAATGAACTGCTGCAGTTGCTGTCTACTTCTTCGTGACAGTGGAAACAAACAAGGAACTGCCTCTAGTTCTTGTCTTTTACTTTATTTGGCCTATACTTATTAGTATTAATTAATTTTAATATTCTATATAACTTTTTAATGTGAGATTTACACAATATACAGCTTTTCCATTGGACGAAGGGTCGGTCACATGATCACAAAACTGGCATTCATAAGCGTATAAATGACACAATTTGACTTCAATGTTTTTCACGAAACTATATTCTTGAAATGACATAAACACTGACAGACGGTTTCCACACTCCTGGGGTAGCCCTGAGAATTCCCAAGCACAAATACATACAGAAGCGATGTTTCTGATCATTTAGACCCAATAGTCTTGGACTCAGAGTTTTAGCAGTGTTTTTTGAGTGTTTGAATGCATGATAGTTCACAAATATCTTTGCTACGACCCATCCTAGCGAGGGAAATGAAATGCACATCCACACTATTGTGGTATCGCCTCGATGCGTGTCCAGGCAGATGGATACAGTCTACAGCAATCTGTGAATTACGTTAGTATTTAGTTAAGGCATCTTGACAATCACCTTTCAGTGATTGGCCGATTGATCAATGATGACTAACACTTGTAATTGCCCCAGGCTCATCAACAATTTGAGAAATCCCTCCAGTCACGTTTATTGTGTCGGCCATTTTGACGTCGATGTAAATGACTTGTATTACGTACGGCACGCTGTCATTGTTACTGACTTACTGAGGTAGCTCTTAACAGACCTTTTGCATCTAATGATATTACTTGAAGACATTTGTTGTAAACAAACCACAAGAGATGTGGTAGAACAACATACATACATACATACATACATACATACATACATACATACATACATACATACATACATACATACATACATACACTCATGTCACCTCTCCTTTTGAGGAGCTACTTCATTCTGCGATACAGATAGCTGTTATATGGCTGTCAGTGTAAACTTGATGTCACATGTACTAAAGAAAATTTGTTTAGAACTTCATAGGGATATTAAAAAATTGTACGAATTGATATTCACTTTGTGTGAGTTCCCAGTTTGGCCCTCACTGTAAGAAGGTTCATACTCAAATGAACTCACACAAAGTGAAAGTCAAGTCCTCCATTAATTATAGTATTGATTTCAAGGCCTGCCATTTACACAACATTTACTTTGAGTTTCGGAGTAGAAATATGTCATCTGGTGAGACCTGTCTGAAATGTCCATGATCTGCTACGTTTTACTACGTACTACGATTTAAGACCAAGACTGCCACACCAACATCACTACACTCTGGTTCAGATACAGCAGATCGATGCTCAGTACATCAACAACTGGATTGTCTGGTCCAGACTCGATTATTTACAGAGTTGTGTCATATAGCTTGAATATTGCTGATTGCAGCGGAAAACAACCAACCAACCAACCAATCAGATACAGATAGGATGTGACCTTGTTTATAATGGATAGTGTATGGATAGTACATTTGAATAAGCCAGTTCAACAATCCCAAGGTGTTGTTTTATAGTTGTTCCAGGTCTCACGATGTAGTTGTGCCATGTCACCGACCCGGTTGTAGTCACTTTGTGTAGCTGTCATGTTGTTTTAACTGTGTTTTGATGTATGAAGTTTTGCAGAGTTTTACAAATACTTGTTTTGTTCACAACCATTATTGAAAAATTGGTTGAAATCATTCTCTGTGCACATGGTATAGAGAACCATGTCAGATCGTACTCATTTCATCATGGCAATGTTGTTTTGTTTCTTTGCCATGGTAACCATATGGTTACTGCAGAGTTTTGTAATTGACATTTGTTGTTGGTTGTCGGAAACAGAATCTCAAACAAAACATCATTGGGAACAATGTGTGTATATGCTACCCAGCTGGACTCTATTTTGTTATCAACCCTGTCATCATCATCATCATCATCATCATCATCATCATCATCGTAGCAATACGTTTTTACACTTTCCTCTTTAGTTAAGTTTTTAACAATTTTCATCACCTCTCCTAATTGTTATTTTTTAATGACTGCTTTAGTGTTTTACAGTAAAACTGAGTCTCAAATATAACTTCATGGATAAAATTCTCTGTACACAGGGTACCCTGGATCACATGTATTATCATCATCATCATGGCAATGTGTTTTTACTTTGTCTCGTTACATCGTAATTGCATAGTTTTGTTTGTTACTTTTTTGTTAAGCTTGTTCCCATGATTTCACGTAATTACTGAACGTTACCAACAGGAGGCACAACAAACATCAGAAAAATGGAGGTGTGTTTGGTGCTCATTACCTCCCCCCTCCCAAAAGAAATTAAAGTTGTTACCAAAACGCAAAGAAAATGATATTCAAAATAAGCATATTACAGTTGGTAGTTTTCTGTATTTAAGGGTATGCTCGTTCATTTAGCAAAAAAAGTGACAATTATGCAGAAGTTTTGGGATACGCATTCTCATACAAGAGTTGTCTCCCTTTTACAACAAAACACACGATTCAAAAGAAGATTAACATCCATCATAACAATGTATTCTAAATTGTTGGTTATATTGGCCTCTCACTCTTGCAATCTCCCTATCGTATACCTGTTAACCACTGACAGACCAGAGTAGTATTTAGTTTCATGTGTGTGCTGCATGTGTTATTTATAGTCGTCAATATGTTGTAGCAATTGTGGAGCAGGGTGTTGTTCTGACCACTCACTACGTCGGTCGACGTTCAGCGGATGCTGTCTGGCAATTCCTTTACGGTTATATACAAAGAGAACATAACCTTTTCTGGCATTGATCAACCAACATCTACTCCGAGGCTGAAATTCTGCCCTATGTCATGTCAGTGAACATAACACAATTTGAATTAAGAAGTCCCAAGTCACTTTGTTATTGTTCTTACTAATGTTCTGACTTTGCAGAGGGGACATGTATTTCTCTGATACCAGGACCACGAGGAAGAGACTAGTGCTTACCAGTTATTGCAATGAATGCAATGTTATCATAATTTTGATTTTAAGAATACAAGAAATTTTTAAAAATCCCAATTTTTACTTTATTCTAAATTAGCTTGCCAAAGGTACTCCGATAAATCCTAGATTTATAGAAAGTAGATAGCAATCTTTATTACAGAGGTCGAAAGGTGCTTGTGAAATGTCAACACAGTACTGCTATTGGTGCCTTGCAGCCAACCTTTGTTATCAGAAAACGAATAAACATATCGTAAATGTCCAAAGTTTTAGTTGTTATTTTTTAGCTATGTTTTACTTTTTGTCAATATTTTGTTTTCATTCTTGAAGTAGCTTGACTTTGGATTGTTTTCTTCTTTGAAAATTGTCACGCTATTCCATACATCATATACATGATGTACTACTCAAAAGAAGTTTTAAGAACACCCGACTCTTTCATATAACTGTTGTTAATCTGTCATGCCCTTTAAGTTATATGACGAACTGTTCTTTAACTTCCTTTGAGTAGTGTACATGAACACTACCCGGTGATGTGCTCGACTGCCTTCGGGGACTAGTGGATAGATGGCCTGCTCGGAGAGCTGTCTGCTGTCGGAGTACATTCGTGACCAATTCGTCCCATTCCGGGACAAGCCGAATATCGACCCGTGATCCTCTTGAAGGTCCCTTTCCCGACGAATGCAGACCCGTGCCAGTCTCGAAGGTTTCCGACCGCCTCCGGTGTATAGTTGTTACAGAAGCGCTCGCTTATTCCTGTTGAAAAGTACTGAACCTCTCAGATGTACAAGCGTTCGCTCGTCACGCCGAAGACCCGGGTTCGATTCCCAACATGTGTACAATGTGTGGAGCCCATTTCTGGTGTCCCCTGTCGTGATATTGCTGGAATATTGCTAAAAGCGGCGTAAAACCATACTCACTCACCCACTCTAAGATGTACAAAAGTATGTTTGGCAGGCCATTTAACTCGTTCTTTGTCAACCGTTTATCTTTTATTTGCAAATTATATATTTTTAAAAAAGATATTAAAACTATATGAAGAAAACTGACAAAACGAAAGCGGTTTTCCGATATGAGCAATTTCAACAATGACATTCAGTTAAGTACAGCAATTTAGACGATATTTCCAATGCTAGAAACGACATAGATTTCATGACTGAATCTGACCTTTCATGGACAGCCTTAACAAATAGTACACACGTTTTATATGAATTAACGACAATAAAATTATGAAGAAATATGATAACTGCCATGTCTCTCGTGAGATCGTTGCTTCAAATATGGTTTGCCTGCTGACAAACATGCTTCATAACTTCACGTTTAAGGTGTTAAGAAAAATGGAAGCTTTACAGTCTAGTACGAAATATGTGCTGGATATAACAACCAGCTTTGGTACAGTTGGTATTAACTGATTAGATTGTGTGGGAGCAACATCCTAGTCTCTTACACGTTTACTAATCCAGAGTATATGTTATATACAAAAAACGATGTTTATTATATAAAGGTTTCATCAACATTTTCTGAACCTTTTACGATAGCTTCCTGTATTTCTTTGTTCAGTTGCCTGTTGTTAACGTGATAAGGGTATGACACCGATCTGACATCACAGAGGTATGTGGCGGGGTATCTTAGGAAACCAGATAGTCCTTAATGTATATTTATAGCAATTACATTTGTTTGAAATACATGTATATTACCACTGCCCTTATTTTGATATCTGGAATCTATCTACACATACCCACGCGTTAATATGCTAATATAGCGAAGTTAAACATCATTCTTACATTCGAATCCCGACATGGGTACAATGTGTGAAGCCCATTTCTGGTGACCCCCGCGGTGATATTACTGGAATATTGCTAAAAGCTGCGTAAAACCTTACTCACTCACTCATTCTAGTGTAACATATCAAAGCCAACTGCACCCCAACAGAACTTATGTCCATAAAGCCATGTCTGACAAACATAGTTGACAAAGACATCATCGAAATCACACCACGAGAATACAGCGGCTTTTAATAAGTAGAAAGATCATAGAACTAGTGTAGGGACTTCGCGGACATGAAACCCTTGATCATTTACATAGGACCCGCGTTATGGTTCACATCACTCAGTGAGTGGCTATCTCCTGTAACAACTATAGGAGGGTTGGCAATGATGGCTGTTGAACTATCGACATTCAGCCAACACCCCTCTCTAACATACGTCACAAAGCAAGTTTATGTGGATCCTTCAGACTGCTGCATAACTCATCGAGTGCTATGACAACCAGCGTATCAACAATTTGTTTGCTAAACACATCAATCTAAAGTGAGCAGTTTAACAACGGGACGACTGAATAGGTGTGTGTGTTGAGGGTCCCACACAGCCACAGTATATTCACTTTCAAGGACTGGCACAGTAGTAAAGGGTGGCTACTCCAGTGCATTGTTAATTGAAGGCGGCAAATCCATCCCATAATCATACAAATCATCTACTAAGGGCAGAGTCTTTTGCACGATTCCGACTATATCATGAGCATGTGTGTATAAATCACTATCAAATAGTGATGACACTATCAGTGAGTGTATCCTGTCTATAAGGCAGTTAGCTTACAGGTTACACACCTGTCTGGATTTATACATTGAGGGCTTACACACCTGCCTGGAGTTATACATTGAGGGCTTACACACCTGCCTGGAGTTATACATTGAGGGCTTACACACCTGCCTGGATTTATACATTGAGGGCTTACACACCTGCCTGGAGTTATACATTGAGGGGTTACACAACTGTCGAGAGTTATACATTGAGGGGTTACACACCTGTCTGGAGTAATACATTGAGGTCTTACACACCTGCCTGGAGTTATACATTGAGGGGTTACACACCTGTCGAGAGTTATACATTGAGGGGTTACACACCTGTCGAGAGTTATACATTGAGGGCTTACACACCTCCCTGGAGTTATACATTGAGGGGCTATACACCTGTCGAGAGTTATACATTGAGGGGTTACACACCTGCCTGGAGTTATACATTGAGGGGTTACATACCTGTCGAGAGTTATACATTGAGGGCTTACACACCTGCCTGGAGTTATACATTGAGGGCTTACACACCTGCCTGGAGTTATACATTGAGGGGTTACACACCTGCCTGGATTTATACATTGAGGGCTTACACACCTGCCTGGAGTTATACATTGAGGGGTTACACAACTGTCGAGAGTTATACATTGAGGGGTTACACACCTGTCTGGAGTAATACATTGAGGTCTTACACACCTGCCTGGAGTTATACATTGAGGGGTTACACACCTGTCGAGAGTTATACATTGAGGGGTTACACACCTGTCGAGAGTTATACATTGAGGGCTTACACACCTGCCTGGAGTTATACATTGAGGGGTTACATACCTGTCGAGAGTTATACATTGAGGGGTTACACACCTGTCGAGAGTTATACATTGAGGGGTTACACACCTGTCGAGAGTTATACATTGAGGGGTTACACACCTGTCGAGAGTTATACATTGAGGGGTTACACACCTCTCGAGAGTTATACATTGAGGGGTTACACACCTGTCGAGAGTTATACATTGAGGGGTTACACACCTGTCGAGAGTTATACATTGAGGGGTTACACACCTGTCGAGAGTTATACATTGAGGGGTTACACACCTCTCGAGAGTTATACATTGAGGGGTTACACACCTCTCGAGAGTTATACATTGAGGGGTTACACACCTGTCGAGAGTTATACATTGAGGGGTTACACACCTGTCGAGAGTTATACATTGAGGGGTTACACACCTCTCGAGAGTTATACATTGAGGGGTTACACACCTGCCTGGAGTTATATATTGAGGGGTTACACACCTGCATGGAGTTATACATTGAGGGGTTACATACCCGTCGATAGTTATACATTGAGGGGCTACATACCTGTCGAGAGTTATACATTGAGGGGTTACACACCTGTCGAGAGTTATACATTGAGGTGTTACACACCTGTCGAGAGTTATACATTGAGGGGTTACACACCTGTCGAGAGTTATACATTGAGGGGCTACACACCTGCCTGGATTTAAACATTGAGGGGTTACACGCCTGTCGAGAGTTATAGATTGAGGGGTTACACACCTGTCGAGAGTTATACATTGAGGGGTTACACACCTGTCGAGAGTTATACATTGAGGGGTTACACACCTGTCGAGAGTTATACATTGAGGTGTTACACACCTGCATGGAGTTATACATTGAGGGGTTACACACCTGCCTGGAGTTATACATTGAGGGGTTACACAACTGTCGAGAGTTATACATTGAGGGGTTACACACCTGCATGGAGTTATACATTGAGGGGTTTCACACCTGCCTGGAGTTATACATTGAGGGGTTACACAACTGTCGAGAGTTATACATTGAGGGGTTACACACCTGTCTGGAGTAATACATTGAGGGCTTACACACCTCCCTGGAGTTATACATTGAGGGGCTACACACCTGTCGAGAGTTATACATTGAGGGGTTACACACCTGTCGAGAGTTATACATTGAGGGGTTTCACACCTGTCGAGAGTTATACATTGAGGGCTTACACACCTGTCGAGAGTTATACATTGAGGGGTTACACACCTGTCGAGAGTTATACATTGAGGAGTTACACACCTGTCGGGTTTTATACATTGAGGGGTTACACACCTGCCTGGAGTTATATATTGAGGGGTTACACACCTGCATGGAGTTATACATTGAGGGGTTACATACCTGTCGAGAGTTATACATTGAGGGGTTACACACCTGTCGAGAGTTATACATTGAGGGGTTACACACCTCTCGAGAGTTATATATTGAGGGGTTACACACCTGCATGGAGTTATACATTGAGGGGTTACATACCCATCGATAGTTATACATTGAGGGGCTACATACCTGTCGAGAGTTATACATTGAGGTGTTACACACCTGTCGAGAGTTATACATTGAGGTGTTACACACCTGTCGAGAGTTATACATTGAGGGGTTACACACCTGTCGAGAGTTATACATTGAGGGGCTACACACCTCTCGAGAGTTATACATTGAGGGGTTACACGCCTGTCGAGAGTTATAGATTGAGGCGTTACACACCTGTCGAGAGTTATACATTGAGGGGTTACACACCTGTCGAGAGTTATACATTGAGGGGTTACACACCTGTCGAGAGTTATACATTCAGGTGTTACACACCTGCATGGAGTTATACATTGAGGGGTTACACACCTGCCTGGAGTTATACATTGAGGG